GCCGCAAAGGTACGGACAGCGCAAGTGATCATTCAGCGACCCTATGCCGTGGTAGAAGCATAGCTGATGTGCCTTAATTCCACAAAAGTGTGTGTTGGAACAGTGATTCTCGTCCATCAGGGAAGCGCAGTCTGAGTTCGAGGGAGGCATTCGTCTCCCATGTAGAACGCAGCCAAGACCCTATGGAAGTTGGTGGGATACCAACTCTTCGCCCCAAATCGCCATTGCCACAATTCCCCATCTATACTAGAGCCTCTTGGACCTCTGCTCTAGCGACGGCGTTCATAACTCCAATTGGATAGACCTATGATCATGTTGATGATATCTTTAGCGGTAGGTAGGTGGACCTCGGCAGAAAAACAGAAGAAACTTTACTTGAACAGTCATCTGTATGAGTATAACCCTAAGAGCATGCTCGTGAGCTTCCGATGTCGAGACACGTTATATCGAAGATTGGTCCTTTCCTATTTGTACTCGTCGCTATCGTCGCCATCACCTCTAACGTTCTATCGACTGGTCGCTTACTTCCCATCAACATTGACACTATCTTTCACCGACGAACAGTAATCGACGACGATTTACAGGGCTTCTCATGCCCTATAGACCCTCCTCTATTAACGACTAAACGGACTGAATTCGACGCCGGAGGATGCGTTATCTACGGCTACCCCTCTACTAGCGGGGTTCTTATCAAAGAGGCCGATCTTCTTGATATGCTTTTCCTATCGCTCCCCCGCTCTCATAAGTCGCAGCGCTTACCTAGTGCCGACGATAAAGAGAAATTCTATAGTCTTATACGGCGAACTAGTGCGAAGTGGTGGCCGAGTAAGCGGGCTTAGATCGAGGTGTAGATAGGCTAGAGGGAGATTACGGAGGAATAAGAAAAGGTGGCGGTATTTGGTTAGCCGATAAATAGAGTAGGTATATAGGTATTGAGGTTTAGGAGTGCTAGGCAACTATTAAAAGATTTTGGGAGAATAAGTTTGGCGATGGATATGGAGGAGAAGATATAGATAATGAGAGAGTATGGCGCTACGTTTGTTGATGTCACGTAGGTGGAGGAACTTTATAATTGATGACCAAATACGTTTTTGAGGCTGAGCCTTGGGATGGGTACTTGTGGAGAGGAATTTCAATACATGGGAGTGGTAGGTACAGTATAAGCGTTACCTTCAGTCTCTTATCCTGTAAGGGTTGTTATTTCTAAAGAGATAGGCAACTTATAATAGCTACTTTGAAAGCCACTAGATCTAAAAATTCCTCGACGAGAAAGTTAAAGCGCCAAAAACAGTGTCGTCGTAAGATAAATATGATAAAGAAGGAATCTAAATATAGCAAGATATGCGATCTGTATATGTACCGGATAATGCCTGGCACTCGAGACCTTTCCTTTTCCGGTTTAGTGCTCACCCCCTTGCCTCGTTTTGATCACTGAGTAAAACCGAGCACGTCCCCGAGTATCCTGACTTTGCCAGACATCACACTGCAATCACAGTTAGATTATCACATAGACACAGATATCAGAGCCACTAAGCTTGTAGTATTACAAGTTTGCTTATACGGACTTTTAGGGGAAAGTTCTTCAGGTTACTATCCAAATTGCCCTTCGACGAGTACCGAAACCCTGAGACACGTCGCCTGCATCCATATAGTGGACCTTATGGAGCGTGTAAAGAATTTGGATCTATGACATCGATCTGCTCACTGAGTGTAGGGATGAGCGGCCTGAGTAAGCTACATCAATAAAATGGCTAGCCCCATCACGTGCAACCCTTCCTATTTAGATCGCCCATCATCCTATCAAAAAAGGACTGGCGCCGTTAACGTGACCGTTCATCCTAGCGGTCTCTTCCTATTCAAGTGAAAGGCCATAGTGGGGAGACTACGACATTGCCCATGGACGGGCTGGTGGGCATTGCCCACGAGTTTTATATAAGCGGGAAATTTTTGTAAGCAGAATTCCTTGATCTCATAACTTGCATTATTTATACATTTTGGCTTTATATTTTTAAGTAACTTGATTATATATAGATAGGATTATATATAGATAGCAGTAGAGCGCGCCAAAAACCAAACCGCAACCAAACCACAAACCATCGCGGTTCCCCAATGGGGTATAAATATACATAAACTTTAAAAATAGCCCTACAAAGGGTCTTGAAAATAGATATAAACCAGTAAGGTTTTATACACGTGATTTAGCGTATTAAATATACCCCACTTTAAACCCCATGGGGCCCCAAGAACCATTGCGGTTTGAACCTCGAAAACCAAAAACCGCAATGGTTTCTAGAACTGGCCCCAAAAACCAAACCATTTGCGGGTTTGCGGTTTTTGGCGCATTCTACCCGCGGGTGACCCTCCGAGGGTCGTGAGGGTCACTCGCGGGTCACTGCCAGGTCTAATTGCCCGTGGGCGTATAAGGTGGCGCCCGTCCATGGGCATGCCCACCGTGGGCATTGCCCGCTTACACAAGGCCCATGGGCAATGTCGCAGTCTAATACTGTTTATACCCTAAATTGGAGCCCTAGACCTAGTGCCGGGTTAGTCCGGGTTAGGTTGGGTTCTGCGGAAGTCTACCTCGACCTTTGGAGAAGTCAACCGTTTCTTGGTGCGGCAGGCATCAATATGGCCCTGTCAATAAACTCATCAGGGACAGTTTCAGGTCTTCATGGGCCATGAACTCTGAAGCCCACGGTTTCTGCAATGCGACACTGGTTTTTAACGCTCCAATACTGTACCCATTTGAAGCTTTTAAGAATACCTGAGAGCTACTTAATCTATTTAGTGCCCTGATTTTCTTCGGCCATTCCCAGTAGTGACGCTTTGAGACATCTCTTAACATGGCTTCCGCACCTCCCACCCATTCTAATCGATCTAAATCCGTCAAAAAGTCCATGCGCCAAAAGCAAGGTCGTCGCAAATCAAGCCTAATGAAAAAAAGCGTCTGAATACAGCAAGATGGGCGACGTTGATGTCTGTGTGGGCATACGCCTTCGGGAAACCGGCCAAGTATTTATCTTGTTAGTGGATGCTTCGGGGCTTGCCTAGGACATCTCTAACCTGGGTGAAATAATCTTTTGGTGTAAACTTGGGGGGTGCCTAGATATTAGGAAAAATGCGCTAGTTTGGAGTGGAGACTGTTGTTACCTAATAATATTCAATAAACACCCTACGCCCTACTTCTTTCAAGTTATTTAAGAAGAAAAAGAAAATGAATTGTTAATCATTTAATTTTCTTGTCAACCCTCGCATTTGTGAGATAACCGATTGTTTAATCAACAACTGCACGTTTGCTTGCCGTTGACCTTCATCTTTCACCACTATGGGTATTGTACTACTCGTCGACGATGTCTTACAGACCATATGTCTATTCTGTCTATTCTACTGATTGTCGTGGAAAGCGTCGTTAATATTCTGTACTTTCGGTAAATTCCCAAATAACCGTTGGTTGCTTGTTATTGTTCATCAACATCATGTCTCTTCAACCGGTGTCTTTGCTATTAGCCCGCGTTTTAATTTGCATTCTAAATATTGATTACCCATACCAGACTTTGCATCAAGTATTGACTCGGTATATATGCCTTTGTAGAATTGGAACCAAAAAGGTGGGCACTACTTTTGTCATGTTTCATATTACAGGGCGCTGGGTCTAATGCCACCAGGGACAATGGTTTGACAGCCGATCATTCCGTTATGGGGAAGCCCTTGACCGGGGTCAAATGTAACGCTTTCTAGGCTTCCATTTTCCGGGGGACCTGACTAAATTTCGGACGCATCCAGGCTAAGACTCTGGCTGCTAGTCTACCCGATGGGGCTGACTTGGAGTCAGGATCGGCGTGAGAGCTTATACAATAGTACCGTTTTTGCCGATCAGCATTTGTTTACTTTCAGTACTTATTTCAAAAATGCTTCTGATGCATCTGTCATAGCCTACTGGCACCATAACCAACGGGGACCGGAGACGTCTTGTACGAGTAACTCGCTCGACGATACCCTGTTGATTGGTCTCCTCTTTCGTTGATCGTATCCTTTGTTTTCTCCTTCCCTCTAGCCCGCATCCATCGTTCTAGATGCGACCAGTGTGGTCTTTTCTTGTCATTTGCGTCATTGCCCAACGGGTTTGCGCCCCCAGCTAATCGAGAGGAGTTGCTGGACCCCTCTTTGCGGGGGCATAATGGGACTCGGGGTGGCGGGCCGATCCCATGGTATGGGGTGCGCCCAATATGTGCATGTCCAGTCTTGTGGGGGGCGGGGGTAGCACCCGGGTTTCCGTATGCACTGTGTAGTATGTAGAATTAGGCAGTGGGACGGCTGCTGCGAAGGCGTACGGATCCTCGGTGGAGGCATAATATTCGCCTGTAGGTCTTACGGAAGCCACCGCCCTTATTGGTTCTTAGCTCGTGTTGTTTGTCTTGTAGATCCTCATGTCAACTAATGTCAACTTCATGTTCACAGGCCGTGGACTCCTCGAGAACAGTCATCTTATCTGCTCCGTGACAAACGCCGAACTCATGTCACAACCCATCCCTTTATATTTTTTGCGCTTATACGGAAAATAGCTTGATATGGGAGACCGATATCAGTCGAAGCCTTAGCAAGCAGGGAGAACCGATTATGCAATACCTTTTATCATCAAAACCGAGTTAGTTCACGGAGTGACGGCATGACGGCGTAATACATAGCCCCAGGAGCAAAACAAGGCTGCGTCCTAGAGCTTACTAGGCGACCATAATCTGCTACTATTCAATTGAGATGTCATGGTAATGAAACGTGGTTACGCCGGCGTACCCATGAGCGTGTCGCCCAGTCTCTCCTTGCATGCATTATGCACCCTAACTCACATGTAGGTATTCTCATACTCTCTGCCGTGGTGGCCGTATTGTGCAAAAGTAGAAGAATGTCTCCGGTCCTGTCTTTATTTAAGTCGCGGAAGGACGCTCCCATGCACCTGGGCATCGACAAAATCGTTTCCTCCAAACACCATCAAACTCCTTGACATGAAGCCCACTCAGGTCGCAGTCCTCATCACCGGTCTCCTTGGCACAGTTGCCATAGCCAACCCCGTTGCCGGCCCTGAGCTGAACCTAGTCGAGGTGGCTCCCCGCGCCAAGTACACCGTTAAGTGCGAAGGGGGTATGCACCCCGACGCTCGTTGCACCAACGGGAAGAAGAAAGATGGCTGTCGATGTGATAGCAAGGGAACTTACCTTTGTGACCCTTCATCTCTCGCGAAGAAGGGCGGCCAGTGTGCCAAGTGTGGCTGCCACGCGGAGTAGTGAGTATTGCTTCTGTGTAGAATACCCAGTGCCTGTATGACGGCTTGAGATGGAAACCCTAACTTGGTCTTCTTAGAAAATGCGGCATCACGTAACTTTGCCACCGGATGGAAGTGAAATGGGGAATGGGTGTCTATCCTTGAGAGTGACTACTAGTTCGACAAACACAATCAGACAGTCTTTACAATACACCCGATTGGCCATCGTGAAATAATACATCGAGTCCTATGTATAATTCAGAATGTGATATTCGTAACTTACGCCAATAGATGATACTCCTACATGTACCATAGCGAACAAGGAGCCTCCACGTAGAAACTGATCACCCATGTCAAGGACGTGAGTGGCTATGAGTGATTATAATGCTGCCTGCCGGGGAGCCGGCTTCTCCGCCGCCCCCAACCCTCCTAGAATGGTACCCCTTCCCGGCTTGCATGATGGCATAATCAGGTTCCCTGCATATAACTAACTATTGCCACCCACCCTGTCGCATATAAAAGCATCCTTGTCGCACATCTCAGACTTTCCATCCACATCTTCACAACATAAGACAAAACCCATCAAAAGAGTATACTATCATACTAAAACTACATTGAAACTCAATACTCACGACATTTTATCCCAATTCTTCTCTATTATGTCATCGACCCATCCCTTGGAGTTCCACACCCCTGGGTGGCATGATGAGGAACGAACACCAGTTGTGGATGGCAAGTATTGCGATCGCGCTACCGGCGAGATCAGGCTTGCATCCGACGGCGATCATCAGGAGTATATGGGCCCACCCGCGGTTGATATTATCATTCGGAGTCAGCATATTGACACCGTCAAGTGCATCTACCGTGCATCACGGCCATTTCCTATGGAGACTCTCTTGTGTCATATCATGAAGGTAGCTGGGGATAGAAAACTGGAGCTGGATTCAGTCATTGCGACAACATATGCGATTCGGGTCACCCTAGCACACGAACTGACGCCCGACCAGTTCAGTGAGATTGCACTCAATATGGCGAACGGGGTCTGGGACCAGGTCGATTGAGGCATCGGTCCAGAAATACAATCCTGCTCTTGTATTGGAAACTTGCTGTTCCCGACCTAAATTCGAGATATGAGACTATGTATCTGAATTCAAGTCACTTCCCTTTACGTATACAAACTGCATCACTCAGGATCATACCTCCTTATCATGATCGCCCACCAAAGTCGTATAAGCTCACGTCGTCTTTCACGCTTTTATGTATGCTGCTCTGATTGCTGACGAAGGGCTCGCTGCCGTCTCGTCTCAGGAAGCCCCATTCGCCACTTATCGTTAATACGGCCAATAATCTCCTGCATCACCGGTCGCGCGCTCCAGTTGATACGCCCTGATGCAGCTTCGGTCCACCACTTGTGGAGGCATGGACAATTCATCCACCAAACTGATGTAAGTGAAACTCGGTACCTTAAATCCACCCTATGGATTCCTTATATGCAATGCTCTGCTTAACTATTATCTATCGTAATGTAACGTTGTTCCCATTTCTTTTCTCCACAGAGAACCGACTGAGATTTTGATCTCAATTTTACCCTTACGGACAAAATTGGTATTTGATGTACCGCTTTACTACTTGCTTTTGCTGCAGGTGGCAGACTCCAACCGCACTTGTCGTGAAAGTAGTCGGCCGCACATCGTACCATGCATCATTACTCACTGGTTGGACACTGAGTATCACCGAGTAATCAGAGAGTATCCAATGAGCACTCACTGAGCACTCACCGAGCATCAGTCATCCTACACGTGACTGATCTGAGTCAGTGCTGACGTGAAGTTGAGTTAATTACAGTATATTGTAAATTAGCTTTATCATTTTCTCTTAATACTGGTGTAAGATAACCTTTAAATGATGAATAAACATTTTCTACTCAGCGAGCCTGAGCCTGAGCACCCTCATAAAAGCGGCGGCAGCTCAAATAGGAAAGCCCCACCCGCCAGGGAATATCCGGAACGTATAGGTGCATATATGCGTAGGTATTCGCATACAGAAGACTGGTCAGGTGCATTCTTTGTCGGCCGATGCTGCAGGCTTTTGGGCTTTTCTCACTTCGCAATTGATATGTAAACTACACGGCGTTATGTGTCAGAATGGAATAAGGCCCCCCTAGGCCATGAACAGGAACCTTGGTTTTTGTTGTGGTCTAGTGGTAAAATAGCCTGTATGTTCCAAACATTATGTACTGATAACGTAGGTGCTGTATGCTGAGTTTATTATTCTCATCCATCGACTATTTTATAGTCCGGTTTCTGAGACAGCCAATTGTTTAACCACCGGCTGCAAATATTCTCGTCTGTTTGACTTCATACTGAACTTGATGCTTTCAACACTCTTACACGCTATTTGTCTTTATCGTTTATTCTACTGATATCGTTGAAACCATCGTTGAAATGCACATTTGACCGATCCTCAAATAGCCGTTTGTTGTTTATCGGTATCATGCCTCTTCAAACAGTGTCGTTGCTCCGTATTTTGCCCAGACTATAGAGAGTGTAGGGCTTTAGTGGAGCAGCGGCTGGACAGCGCAATAAGCGCGACATAGTTCTGAGTGTCGCAAGTACAGTTCATCCTTTCCAATTAGATAGATTCTCGTGCCTTCCTTCTTGCAAGGAAAACGAAAAAGAAAAGAGAAAAAAAAAAGAAAAACAGTAAACACATGAACATCTTACTGCTTGCTCATCTTTCTGATGCTCGCACTTATTGTCTGCATTCCAATCTGTATTCCTAGTATTGTTTAAACTATTCCAGATGTAACGGGCTGATGCTAGATTGTGAACCATACGCGCGCGCGCCGTGTCTCAGTCACTTCTTTCCCTTGAGATTTTGTACACAGTTCGTGGCCTAGTTAGGTTGAATCAACTCTTGCTCTAGCTCTTCACACCAGATTCCGCCTTTCATCTCGCGGTTGAGACCCTCACGTTTCTGATATCATACCTGGCCAAAGGATCCATAGCATGGTTCCTAGGAACACTCTTGGTCGCTCCTAGGGGTCAGAACCATAGTTCCTAGAGCACCTACAGCTCCCGGAAATGTAGAATATGGCTCTGGGGAACTAGAGAGAAGTGGTTTCGCTGTAGCCGTAGCAACTGCCATTGTGTGAATCTCCCTCATGATGAAACTAGTCTTAAAATCCAGCATTCTATCAAGATCAATTCGAGAGTGTCTATAGCTCAATTGATAGCAAAGCATATATGAAATAGGACTAGACAGACAAAAGGGCCTTTGATTCGCGACCAATCTTTAGCAGATGCAATCCAGATTATCTATGACAACACGCCCTCGTCGGGTATCAGCTTGATGGAGCCTGCTCGGCAAGCGTTACGTGATTTTGTTGCCGCTGTTCATGAGGCCGCTGCTCATGAGGAGTTCAAACCCGATTTTCCCGATTTTCCCGATTTGCGAGAAGACACTGGAGACTTCATGCTCGAGCTATCTGGGGTACTCTCCGAAGTTCTGTCCTACAATGATGACATAGAAAGTGAATTCAAAGAATTCGAATTGGTCGGTGGAGAGAGCTAAGCGAAGCTGGAGTGGCCGGTGGATGGAGAACACTTGAGAATGTTGAATAGCCAAGATATCCAGAATAATGCAAATGAAAATGAATTGGTCAAATATGCCAAGAGGTTAGGAGTCAAGGCTCAAGCAGAGGTACCTCGAACTTGTACATATAACAAACCTTCACTCCCGCTCCTACAACCCGTCCCCGGCTCCTCAATGCGATACCCCTATCCAGGAAAGCCATACATAAGAACCGTTCCCGAACTCCCATGCCGGTAAGGCCCGTGGGCCCAAATAGAGGCTTGAGGCCGGTGGAGCCCCCGATTTGCCGAGAACCCTTTCCGCGGAGGGAAGTGGGAGTGGTGATGCGCTTTGACACATTCCGCGTGGAAACTCTTCAAGGTCGAGCTAGGCACGGAGTGGTTTCCGCAGATGATATTTTGGAGCGCATTCGGCACTTAGACTTTCACGATTGGTTGGTTTGGTGCAGTGATATCGTTAGTTGATGTTGTTTACTAGAAGTTGACGGGTTTCTTAGACGGATCCAAGACCAATGCGAGGTATTTTTTTGGCAAAGCATGATGCAGAGAGCTGAATGTGTTCTTGGGCATCGAAGAGGTCCGTGGCTATGTGGATGAGTTGTTTTGGGCATCTTGGATTACACCGGGGCCTCGGACTCAAGCAGAGAGTATAATGACTCAAACATGGACTTAGCGGGTCATACCCTATTACCAAACGGTGACATCCGATGCTGGATCTTGGTTGGGCATTCACTGTTCATGGCTTAGTCTTGCATCGCTTTGGTGACCTTTCCACCACGCCAATTCGAATCCTAGTCCATCAAAACAATTTCCCGTCTATTCCCCGTGCCATGTTCAGGACAAATAATCAGGGGTCACCATCCCCGGACAAACAAATGACGATATTGACCGGAGAACACTCCTCCGTTGCCTCTTACCGACACACCCGGTCCTCTCGAAACGATGTTCGAAGTTGATAACTTATATCCGTAATCGTCACAAACGACCAATACCATGGAGCAGGCACAGCACCAGATACAAGGTGAAAATCCACTTTGAAAGCTTACCTGACATAATTATTGCCGGTCATCGGCGGAAAGGAGCCAAGAAGCAAGCCCAAACCGGAGGAGTCTATGCAGCCTCACCATGTCAACTCAACAATAGTAGCGCGAGCCGCAGCTCCACACCAGGAAAGGGGGATGGGATCATTTAGAATCTGAATGGATGGGATTGGTCGGTGGCCAGGGGATGGAGTGAGGGCGGGCCCACCACAGCGTCAACGGAATGATGCTCGGCCGATTGGACTGCCGTCCGAGCAAGTTCGGATCGTTGGCCCGAGGGAAGCGGCAGAGAATTACTGAGGTGGAATAGCCGATTAGACTTGTTCGCCCCGCCAATATACTAGTCCAGGCTATTGGATTCTAGGCACTGGGACAGAGCCCAACAATTAAATCATAGTCCGATATACGGCTAATCCGTGCGTTTGTAGTGAATACCCAACGTAGAATCGATCCCGTTGGGAGGTTGTGCCGGGATTAGCTCAAGGCCTGTATTCTTAAACAGGGTATTTATCCATGAAACATCTGCAGCAACAAGTGCAGAATAGTACTTGATCTCCGAGATATGCCCAGAGTGTGTATATGCGGTGTCGGGTATATCAGAAGGACCGGGATCCCGATAAGTTATCGTGGGGAATCCCAAAGGGGTTTAGCGTTGGTGGAGATGCGAATGTAGCTCGTGACACTAATATATCTCCCGTGTTGGTATAGTTGTCAGGTCAAGGAATCAACGGAATGGCAGTCTGTAGTCTGTGCTGCATTAAATAGTATTAGACACAGTCCTGGGATATCTAGATGTTATTCTGATTCTGACCTGGTTATGTGTCTGTTGTAAAAAGCAAGGTCGTGGAATGCAGGATCGTCAAGCTATCCCCGCATTTTGACAAGCTCCGTAGCGTGCAGACATGTCGATGTTCGTGCATTGATAATCGAAACGATAGTACATATCATTGGCCCAACACTTGAACCTTGGTGGAGAGGCCTGGTTCTGGCGACTTTCGCTCTATGACCAGGGAAATGCCAGGCATTATTCCGTATGTCATCTCCATATACCGTGGGCGGGGAACCCGCGGGTGGCCATCGGTTGAGAGTCGGTTGAAGGGGGATAATCTCCGGTTCGGAATGAGTTCACGGCTGGGTAGATTACTTGAGATTCATTATATTAGACATAGCTCAGGCCCCCATTGTCCCCGGTTTGACCCTTTGTATAGTTGTACCAGAAGACTTGACTCTGCACGACATCACACCCCGCACCTTCTCTGTCCTGTGACATTTCCTGTGTCTCCCCTCATATTCTTTCTCTTCTGCCTTTCTTCGTTATTCTTCAGCTGTACTATCCAAACCTGTTGCCACCTGTTGACACCTGCCTGAATCTTTCATATAAAACTACGTCATCGGTAAGTACCATGGTCCAAGGAACCCGTGGACAGCCCCCGTGGCTTCTAAATCCACCAAAGAGCTACTGCTAACCTTCTGAAAAGGTTTTTCTTGTTAGTGCATCTCCCGTGTTTTATTCACCTTCCACGCCTATACGTCGTCTATTATATTGACCGACATCTAGGATCTTCATACTTCACTATGGCATCCACTATTAAGGACGGTGCCAGCACTGCTGCTGTCTCTGCCCAAAACGCAACCAAGACCGCCATTGATAATCCTCCCGACTTCCTGCACCACCCGTACACCCGCCACGCCCTGCCCTTCCTTAACGGCGGACTAGCCGGTATGACCGCAACCGCCGTGATCCAACCCGTCGACATGGTCAAGGTGCGTCTGCAGCTCGCCGGTGAAGGAGCCCGCACCGGTCCTCGCCCATCCGCCTTCGGCATTACTCGCGATATCATCGCCTCCGGCAAAGTCCTCGATCTCTACACCGGCTTGTCGGCAGGTATCCTACGCCAAGCCGTCTACACAACCGCACGTCTGGGATTCTTCGAGACATTCATCAAGAAGCTCAATGTCCGTGCCGAAGCCGCAGGCCAAAAAGTTACCTTCGCCGAGCGTGCTGCGGCAGGACTGACTGCCGGTGGAATCGCAGCGATGATTGGAAACCCGGCCGACTTGGCCTTGGTGCGCATGCAGTCCGACGGCCTGAAGGCCCCCGAGGCTCGCGCGAACTACCGTTCCGTCTTTGATGCTCTCGGTCGTATCACTCGCACCGAGGGTCTCGCTGCCTTGTGGGCTGGTGCTTCGCCTACAGTTGTCCGTGCCATGGCCCTCAACATGGGTCAATTGACTTTCTTCTCTGAGGCAAAACAGCAGCTTAAGCAGCATACTTCTCTCTCCGCTCAGAATCAGACGTTTGCCGCTTCTGGCATTGCTGGCTTTTTTGCTAGTTTCTTATCTCTGCCCTTCGATTTCATCAAGACCCGTCTTCAAAAGCAACAGAAGGATCCCAAGACTGGACTGGTTCCTTACAAGAGCTTGGTGGATTGTGCGCGCAAGGTTGTTAAGGAAGAGGGCTGGTTGCGGTTCTACCGTGGCTTCGGCACTTACTACGTCCGGATCGCTCCTCATGCGTTAGTTCCCCCCACTATTTTACCCCAACTTCTGATTTTCCCCACTGACTCGGATCCGCAGGATGGTCACCCTCATCGTGGCTGATTATCTCAACCTACTCACCAAGTAAACTTGCTTTACCGGTTTTGAAAGCCTGAATTCTCGGGTTTCATTCTTTTACATTGCTCGATTACACGACATTGCACCGACCTGTTGCTCAGTTGCGCGATTTTATATTTCTCACCACACCACAAAGTCTATCAATAGACACAATCTGCTATCTTTAACATGGGAAGTGCAGCGTCCGGAGGAAGACAGCCAATCCAAATCCTGAGACACTTTATACCCGCCAGGTCTGTGTGCATCGCACAAACCCACCCCTCCCTACAATGACAAATTACCCATGGTATATTTGGTTCCTGGACATTCGGAAAACATGGCCGGCGAAGGGCTCATTCCCACTTGCAATTTCTTTTTCATCCCCGGGGAAGAGAAAATGAAAACGTGTCGGAGAGAGGATACGCGGCCGACAAGTCTTTCCCGCGGAGAGTCAGCACGACAACATAATACAACGCATTGTCTTTGTCGGGTCTTTGTCAAGTCGTTGCTCATTTCCTTCTTTTGTTCTGTCTTTGCTTTTGTTGTGCTTTCGACAAGCGAATACCCCCTGGTCTTGCTGTTGTTCTTCGCCCCTGTCATACTCCACGTCATGGTCTTAGGCCACGATGTCTGCTTGAGGTAGATATGCGAGTTGGGTAGGATCTCCAGCGGATAGATAGCTTACTTGCCTATTTCTTTCTTTTTCTTTTCTTCAACAGTAAAATAGCTACTGTCTCTCTGATTCATGTGGGGTTGCATTCTCCAAGAGTTATCAGGACGTTTCCAGTGAAGGAACAATATGACTCATCTCAATATTTGATTATGGCCAATCCCTGTCTCTGTTGGACAACGCATTTGGGACAGATTGCATAGATGCCACGAACTGTCCACGGGTATGGCGGCCTATCCGCTCTAGGTATGTAGGCTTGAATTGAAAAGAAGATCTGAACTTGAATATGAAGATCGAGCTTCCGGCGATGGCTCCAAGCCATGACCTTTTTACAAATAGGATAAATCGTAGACATAAATAAGTCTTGCCATTATTTATGTGAATGTATTCCATACACGGCGAAGCAACAAGCAGGGCCCTGCGGAATAGAAAACGAGAAGGAAAGACATGCTATCGTGAGTGTGAAACAATTCACCATTAAAATCGACTTCGTAAAAATAGAGGCCCAAAGTGCACCACCGGCGATATGCTCGCCAGATGGCCGGGGAATCACAAGCGGGTGACATAAAAAAATAAAAACCAGGCAGTCGACGACCAAGACGTGCACTTCCAGATCCACCCCAGAACAAGACGCCCATCGCAAGAACGACAAGAAGAAAAGATATCGCATTCCATCCCATTCCCCATTCCCTTGGAGTTCATATTAGTTCAGATTAGATCTTATCATCGCCAACACGCTTGGACTCGATAGTCCCAGGCGGCAGGACATCCTCAAGCGTCTCGCCTGTGCCCTCAAGCTCCTCCTCAACAGGAACAGAGTCCTTGATCTTGAAGAAGACGACAGGAACGGCGATGAGGATCGAGCCGCACAGCAGACCGAAGTTCGACGCGTATTCGTTCATGTAGGGTAGCTTCCTTTCGTCCAACGACCACATCACGGCTGCGCCGGCGGATTGAAGACCCTTGTAGAAACCTGCCAAGTTGGCGAGCTTGCGACCGGAGTTACCGAGGGCGCCCATGATCCTAGAAGAGAGAAAGAACTTCAGTCACGAGGCATGGAAGGGAAGAAAACGAAGTAAGTCTTACCAGTAGACAATACCCTGCCAGGCGGCATCGTACATGCCGTAGAAGAAGTAGAGGAACATAGGGCCAACGTAGCCCTTGGTAGTCCAATCCCAGCCCTTGAAATTCGTGGTCTTGGGGTCCACATCCTCACGGGTGTACCTCACCTGCCAGGCGTAGCCACCGCCCCAAATAACCACCGTGAGCACAAACAGTCCGGTCAAGGCTGCCTTGGCACGAATAGAGCGACGAACGCGCTCGGTATCAAGCAGAGGACCCATGATAACAGCAGCCACGATCTGCGCAAACCAGTACAGGAATCCGTTCAGTGCCTTGGTGCGAGTGTTGAAGTAAGCGCCGTTAATAGCATTCTGCTGATATGTGTAGAACCAATTGGAGGACCAGAACATGGGGAACAGGAGTATGATCCATGGTTCCGAGCGAACTGTGTCCCACAATCCGACGATCTCGGACTTCCACGAGGGGTGCTTCATGAGGATGACGCGGGAGCCGTCGGGACGCACGACTTTGTCTGCGTCGCAGAGACACAGGGCAAGACATGCGCCTGCAAACATGAGGACGATAAAAGCGATGTAGGTGCCATCACCGACGGTCTTGTTCTCCGTGACATGGATGTTTTGGCCCAAAGGGATCTTTGAATTGCCTTGTTAGTCGTTGTTGGATGGTGTAGCCAATTGGGAGTGCAGGGCCAGGTAAGGGGCTAGGCTTGTCTTACCAAACTACCGATACAGGCGCCGACATTGAAAATACCCCAGAACCAGGCGAAGTAGCGACCCTTCTGCTGCTCAACCGGGTAGGACATCATAATGGTACCTTGCGCGGCCCAGAGCAGACCGGCGCAGACACCGAGGAAGGCGCCGGCGAAGATGTTGAAACCAGGTACATATGCATGTTCGGAGACGAGGAGACTAATGGAGTAAATGCAGTAACCGACTCCACCGAAGGAGAGGGAAAGGCGGACGCCGATACGGTTGACAACAGTTCCAGCGAAGAAACCCACCACGGCGAAGGTACTGTTCAACGCGATGTTCTGGTTGATTGTTAGAGCGGTGAACACCACGATATAAAATGTGACCAAATCGGAGTTTCGGAGTATTGGATTTGTGAAGAGTGGGGGCGCACGAGATAGGAAGAGAACAAAAACAAAAAGTGCCCGAGGGTGCATACCATTTTATCAGCCAAGTTGGGGTCGGACTTTCCACCGCCACCCATTCCACTTAGGGCGTTGAACATGCCTGGACAGAGGAAACAGACGAAGGCAACCATGCCCAGTTGGATGCGCGGCGAGGCATACCAGCTCGTTGAGAACTTGCCGATCTTATTGGACTTGTACATCCATCCTGCTGGTCGGGGTGTTGGGTCAGGTTCGGAAGAATATTCGACGGGAGTCTTCCGTTCATCCATTATGAATGGAGGCGGAGGCCGTAGAAGAATAGACGATTAAAATGTAAAATGCGTAGAAAATATTAAGAGGTGTGTTGGGGGAAGAGGGAAAGATGAAAAAGGAGACATGAGATCTTTAAACCAAAAAAAATAAAAATTCAAAAGATAGCCAGCTTCTCTGGTCAGCTCGTACGATGTACCCTTACCACTCCAACTTTCGAAGAGAGATATAGGCCAAGCAAACGCTAGGTCCAGATTACAATCGAGAGATAGATCAAAATAGTGTTGCAGGGTAGCATTGGTTCGGTCACGGACTGGAGCCAGATTTATGTGGCGCGCCATGAGAAAGAGGACCAGACAGAGTAGATATTGGTGGTAGATCCAATTGGACAGGGGAGCTGACTTGCGGGGTCAAGTTGATTGGGGGCCAGGCCGCTTTGATAGCAGTGTTACACCCTGATGGCACAGTTTCTTTGGACGGGTAGACCGGGTAGTCGCGTGAGACTGGGGAAGGGGATGTAGTATTGGTACAAGGTTACTATGGAACTATGGGGTCGGCTAATAAAGTTGGAGATCTGGCATTTAGAGTCACATCCCGACAAGGAAAAAAGAAAAAAGAAAAAGAGAAAGGAGAAAGAAGAACCCGTGAACGAGGAACGCTAGGCTTGAAACAGCTCTACCTTACATTGATTGGTTGGTCCATCCCGGTCCCACGAGCCAATCCGTTGGCTCAACTGCGGGGAGGGTCCACAACGGGACTAGCGTGTTCCATTCTTTCGGATTTCAAAACATGTGCTTGGCATCTGCGTGAAGTCACCATATTTAGATCTATAAGATACCCGAAATCGTACAATCTGAGCCTCTGTTCTAGGTAGTACAGATACAGTAAGCTTAAGATCTAGAAAAGACTGCAACCTTCCAATAAGTAATTTGAAACGTTTCATTGTCTCGGCTTAGTGGAAAAGAACAAGGGAAATTCATTTAAAAACGCTCGAAATGGACGGTATCATATCAATCGCTCTCATGGCTTTCAACCTCCTCATCCTCGGACCCAGTCTCGATTTTGGGCTCAATATCACTATCACTGTCGGTGTCTTCACTGTCACCGTCCTCACTGTCCTCAGTGTCCTCAGTGCCACTGGTATCCTTATTCTGCCCTTTCTCGCTCTGCACATCCACTTGTTGGATATCCCTTTGAGAGTCAACGGCTTCGTTCTGGGCTTCTTCATTCTGACCTTCAGGTTCCGGTGCGTCGACCCCCATCTCTTCGTTCTGCTCTTCCTCATTCTGCCCTTTCTCGATCTCACCCTCATCGGTCTCCACATCTTCATTCTCTGCTTCTTCGTTGGTCAGTCCATCGATCCCAACCTCTTCATTCTCACTTTCTTCATTGTCCGGTTCCTCCATTCCCACCTCTTCATTTTGTTCTTCATCGTTCTGCTCTTCCTCGTCCTCCCCTTCTGGGCTCTCCCCTTCTGCATTCTCCACATCCTCAACTTCAGCATCTTGACTCTCCGCATCATCGCTGGACTCATCCTCAGATTGAGCGGCCCGTGCAGCCTGACTGAGCGGCTCCATTTTGATGCGCTGTGAGGGAGGAGGGGCATCAACATCCATAGCATCATCATCGCTTTCCACGTCACTACCCAAGGTAATACCGGTACTTCGATCCTTCTGCTTTCTGCCATCCCCTTCAAGGTGATCATCTTCTTCCTCGCGCTCCTGGAGCTCTTGAGCACGGCGAACACGTCGTAGTAGAACGGGATCTGGCCGTAAATCATCTGCAGTCAACGGAATAGAACAAACAGGACATTTGACCACATGGACGCGGCGCTGTCCCCGACGAGATGCCGGGGGCGCAATAGTTGTCGGGCTCCGTTTGATCATATCCATAATCGCCTCCCGCTCGAAACTGTGCGGACATTTGGTGCTCGTCATGGGATCCTGGTAAGGTGTGAGAGTCAATGGGCATTTGAGAGAGATACGCTCGCGCTCAATGGCAATGTCATCGTCAGAGCCGGCCGGCGACGCGCGACGGTTCTGGTTGCGTGTACGTGCCGGTGCCCCTGATTGCGTATTCGTGTCTTCTATGTGCTCGAACCATGTAGATGAGTGGGGCAGTGGTGGGACATCGTCACCGGGGAATTTGGAGTCGTGGACCATGCGGTAGAATCCGATGTAGGAGTTATTGCTAGCATATCTAGATCCGTAGTTGTCAGTTTCTGTGCGTTCAAGTATAACAGCCACAAAAATGGCCAGGAATACATCGCATACCTCTCTGTCAAAGAAAGCTCATCCCATTTCTGAACGCCCTCCGTCAACTTATCGACAAGCTTGCGACTAGGCGGGTTCTGTGCATTGCGCTCGCGCATCTCTCTCTCCTGGGCATCTTCATAATCGCCATCGGCGGGGTCTTCGGTCCCATCGGCGTCATCGTCAGCATTGGCTCTCTGCCTTGCCCGCTGTTGACGGGTCTGTCTCACTCCCAAAGCAGCAGCGACGGTCTCGCCCTCCTCTCTTTCAATTTGACCCATCGCATCTGTCAATCCCTGGAGCTTTATTTCTGAATCGACGATCAGTCGAGTCTTCTCCTCCATCTGCGCAGTAATAGCATTGACTCGAGTCTCTGCCTCAGCAAGCCGCTGGTACTCCTCGTTGCTCTCATCGTCGACATCCTCGTCGCCTTGACGTCGGTGCGCTTCCTTCATTTTCTCGTATCGAGTCCTAGCATCACTAAGGCGCTCATTTACTTCCCCGCCTGAGTGTGTGAGTTTCTCGGTGGCATGCTGGAGGTGGGTGCGGAGGGTGCGGAGGTGTTGTGATGCGAGGAGGGCGGCAATTTGGCGCTGACTTTCTGCTGTGAGAGGGGCCACAGGAGTCTCGTATTCTGGTAGAGGTGCTGCCTCTGAGACTGAGGTGTGGGTTGCGTTTCGTCTGCGTGATTGTGCTGATTGTGGATGGGCTGAGGGCCGTCGGCTTGGTGTTGCCGACATCGTTGTGGGAGAAGAATTATTGTAGTGGGTAAATTGGTGAGGTTTAGGTTATGGGGGTTTTATACTTTGATTCGAGTACAGGGCTCCCAAGCCGTTGACAAAGAAAGTCCAAGTAACAAAGCGCATCTCGAAATCCTGACGCGAGACGCGATGACGCTAGTCCCGTTTGGGTTACATATATCCGCGATAAGCCTTATCACTGCGGAGTGGGCCTTGACATTGGAAGTATGTCGAGTAATAGTTCTTCTAATAGACACTCTCATGTTCCCATCACTTCAAGCTCTCATATCCTAGATCTACAACATAGATAATACATTTCTTTGGCCAAAAAAACACTATATCTTCAGATTGGAAGCGCGAAAAACAAGAAAAACAAGACAGCCAAACAACACTTCTAGGTAGTAGTTAGGGGTATTTATCCTCACTAAAACGAACCAATCTTGGAAATCGATGGCCAGAAGCTGCCGCTGTTCTTGATGCCCAAAATACTGTTGTACATGACCTTTACCGTTAGCATTTCTTCAACTATGTAGAGTCTCCCGTAAATCGAAGCTTTTAGGGGAATGGAAGTGACCACGTTGATTTGAAATACCTTGCTCGTGCCGCATATTCATTTACTCCTAACTGAACATAAGGCTGAAATTGCAGAGTTTCATCTATCGCTAATTACACTACACAAACCCCCTGCATGAGGCCATACTAAGAAAATACCATCGCAATATTCAAGCTACGTTGATACGCTGTACTTTGTTAGTCGAATATCACAAAATACTCTTGGTATGTGCCTCGATCTTCCCCAACGGACTACATTATGACGTTTACTTAGAACGACGAAGTCACAACGGGACGGCTTAACCATACACAACGACCTACTAGCGACAAGGGTTCCTTGATATCTAAATCTGCATAATCATGCATTTGCTCTGAAACCCATCCCAATCGGATGAAATTTGGAACTACCTTCATGCTCCAATCCAATACTCATGTCAAAGTTGCAGGTGGCTTGGCGTTCGTATACGGATCTGATTCGAGCACTGATCTGCATTTGCCGGCTATAACATCGCAACCTGATGCAGCGCTATGCCCTCTAGCGGTGTACATGCCGCTGCCAAGAGGGGTTGCTCACCTGCAGGTCTCGACTCGATAATACTCCACAACCGACCTTAAATTTCCGCAAGATGGAACACACACAATCTACTTAGACCCTGAGGCTTGGCCTTAGCCTTGGCATATCGCCAGGTCTGACCGTATAAAGCTAGCCTTGCGCGCTGCCCCCACTAAGCCCAACAGCTCATTGTTCCACTACGATGTTGATGTACGATAAACCAACAAGTCCAGTAAGGCAGAAACTATGGCGTTTTTCAAATAGCAACTTGATTTTACAAACACTATCTAAGTTCATGGCCTTTTGAGATTCCCTCCAGCTATATAAAGGATAGAAATGCCCGGGACAGTATCTCGAACCATAGCCATTTATACATTCATCCTCCCATCTAAAGACCACACCCATCAAACCCAATTACCTCAAATATGCAAATCCCAAACCTCTCTTCCACCCTCTCCTTCCTCCTCGCAATCCAAACAACCAAAGCCTGCAACCCATCCCGCCGCGACACCAACACCCCAAACCCCTTCACAATAGGCACCGACGGCCCAGCCCTGGAGGCAACAAAAGGCTTCGCTCTAAACCACATCGGCCTCTTAACCACCAACCTCCCCGCCATGAAGAACTTCTACGGCAACATCCTAGGCATGCGCAACATCTTCGACGCACAAGTAACAGCTGAGTACTCAGTAACCTACATGGGCTACTCACAAGGCGGACGAAACGGCACCGGTTTTCAAACCGGGGCAGAGATGGCGGTGGCCAAGAACAATATGTACGGGCTGCTGGAGCTGGTGCAGTTCAATGTCTCAGATGACCGGCTTATTGCGTCGACCGAACGGACTAATACTTTCGGACATGTTGGACTTGTTGTTCCCAATGTTGCCGAGGCCCAGGCGTATCTTGAAGCGCGGGGGGTGGCGATCCTTAAGAGGGTTGGTGAGGCTGTGCAGGATTTTACTGGACCTGTGCCTAATTCGATGGGGATTGGAGAGTTTGCGGGATTGCATCTTGAGGCTAAGAGAGCGCTTGTTAAGGCGCAGGGGTTGATTGGGTTTGAGATGTTTTTGATGGTTACGGATCCTGATGGGAATGTGGTGGAGATTCAGCAGCAGGATGTATAGAGGGATGAGAGAGATTTGAGGACGGTAGACTCGTGAATTGAGAAGGCTAACTGGAGTTTTGTTGAAGGGAGTGAATACGCCGGTGGCTTGAGGGTTGTAATCGTCAATTGCGATTCATGTTATATAGCTGTTTTTGGAACGTCTAGTTATTTTGACGTGTAAGGGGATGATTCGTTGGAATTGAAAATACAAGTGCTGAGCGATGAAGAGTTTACATATAGGTCATTGGAATACTCAAGTCTCCATGAGAGCCTATACCTTGTAGAAGCAGTATGCATGGTAGAAGCCTGACGAGGTCATCTGTTAGCAGCTGAGAAAAGCAATGCACATACGGGAATTACTCACTGACGGCCTCCTTCTCCTCCTCTGTCATATTCAAAGCACCAGTCGTGCGGTCTCTTACGCCCATCCGCTCACTGAGCGGACCCAGCTCGGGGTGATTCTTCTCATCCTCCCAAATTTCCAAAAATGGCTTGCGGTATTGTAGTTCCAGGTTGTAATCCTCGGTCAGGCTGAATGAAAAGTTAGTTATGCATGGTAGAAAGCGATAATGGCCGACACTCACGCTCGGAAAGCCTCCCATGGAACAACGTATTCGGGGACCTCTTCCACTGCCTCCTTCATGAAGTAACTGTACTTCCACCCGAAAGGCGGACGGAAGATTCCATCCTCGGGGGTTGCACCAGGGAACCGAACGCGGTATATATCGTTGCCCCACTGGGCCCGCTCATCCTCCTCGACTTCACCATCCTCGGGGCCTTCCGGCTCAGCCGGTTTGGCAGCCTCACGCTCCTTGCGTTCTTTGTGGAAAGTAGACACGCGGCTGGTAATGACGTCCGAGTTGGGGCAAACGCCAAGGAAACGACCGCCTTTCTTCAAGCAGCCCGCAACATTGCTGAGCATTTGGCGCGTCTTCTCCTCGGTCTCAAAGGCATAGTGAATGGCAAACATAGATGTGACAATGTCAAAGCCGCCACCGCCGTAGCGAGAGGCCATGATAGACCCACCGGGACCGGCATTGGCATCAATACCAACCCGCTGGACGATGTCGATGTCGCCCAGCCACTCGCCAAAGCAGTCTTTCGGGTAGAACTCGGCATGGAAAATCGGCTGGGGTGGTCGACGGCCTCGCTGACCACGGCCAGTGCGCATTTGATCGTACCGACCTCGCGCCTGCTCAATCGAGATATTGGCAGGGTCAAGACCGACGTAGAGGTCAACCGGCTGAGGCGCTAGCTGCCACTTGCCCAGATCGCCACCCTTCCCACACCCCAGATCCAGCACGAGAAGTTTTTGATCAACAGGGGGCGGCGGGCCTTGGCTGTCATCCGCCCAGTCCTTGCTATCTTCGAATCGTGCGACAAATGACTCGTCGGGAGAAAACTTCTGGATCAGAGTACTCTTCACCCAGTTGTTGAAGCTTCGTAGCCCCTTGATCTTGCTCTCTGTCTTCCGCCACTCACGGCCTCTCTCGGGAACCGCGTTGTAATGTTGTCGGACCACGTCAGTGACACCGCGCTGCTGGGAGTTGCGCATAGCCTCATCCTGCTCCGCACGTTCACGTTCCTCCTGTTTGCGTCGTAGAGTCTCACGGTCTACGAGCCCCTGTCGAGCTCCACCACCTGGTCTCTTTCGTTGACGCGGTGCATCGGGAGAGGGGGAGCGGCGTGGCTGTAGTGGCGATCGAGAGCGTCGGTCTTCGCGTGGTGGAGCGCCGCCAGGGCTGCGGGAGCGGTTGCGTCGTGAAAATACTGATGGCGGAGTCCGACCTCGTTTCCGGAGGGCTTGGTGTCTCTCCTGGAGTCTTCTGCGCTTGGATGCGGCGCTTGATAAATGGCTCGATCCGTCTGCCGCACTGTCTCCTTCGATGCTCCTGTGTTTTCCAGTGTCTGTTGGGGGGTGTGTGGTATTGGTGCGGGCAGGCGAGCGCGGGGTGGATCGCCCACGAGCTCCATCATGGGCTCCATCTCCATTGGGATGATCCATGGTGACGTGGGTAGAGTTGTGAAATGTTCAAAGAATGATTCGGAAGAACAATGACCGCGGAGAGCTGGCGAGGAAAGAAAGGTGTGTCTGGAAATTAGAGTAATTAACCTTAGTAGAAATATAGAAATTTAGGCTGATTTCGCAGAAATATTGCCCTCCGGAGATGTGGAAGTCAGAGTTATATCAGAGTAATGGCCAGCTGGGGGTCCGAAGAAAGTCCAATGAGCTCCGGATCTCGACCAATCAGAGCATCTCAAGGCAACCCTAATTCCCATTCATCTGTCGACGCAGGTACAGTCTTTTAAATGGATTCTTAACATTACGGCGACTAGACATGAATATGAGATAAATCTTTTCTCATCATTGCGAAGTGTCGTGTCTCGCAATGGCCATAAATTGAAGCTATCTGGGAAAAAAAAAAAAACACACAAGCCGCTGAACGATGCACTTTGACCCTCGTCATAAAACCCACGCTCCCAATTAATGTAATATTGAATAGAAAAGAAGATCAGAATGTAAGATCACTGAGGCAAGACAGCTTTCCGTTTTGGCGACTTGACCGTCAAAACCTGTCTTACTCGTCGGATTTTCGCCCACCACTCACGGTCTGCTTTCTTTTTTGCGTCCGGATTTTCTTCTTCGCCCCCAGTCTCTGTTGGTGTGCTTAGGTCGGTCCGTAATGTATCAGTGGAGGCCATGGTGCGAACTCTGCGGCGGTGTTTGACCTTTACAGCCTCCGCGACGATCTGCCACCCCGCGCGTAGTTCCGTCAACTTCTCGTTAGGCCGCCCTGTGCCGCTTTGGGCTACCTTGTCAATCCAGGGACAATACTCCATGTGCTCATCAGCCACATCAAGGGAAGTGTAGACAGTCACATCTCCATTATCTTTGGGTTTGTACATCCATAAACCCAGGCGACGGAAACACGCACCACACCCGACTAACCCGGCAGCTCCATCGGAGGCAGTATCCCAACCGAGCAATGCTAACGCCAGGGCAGCTCGATTGGCAGCTTTAGGTGTTTCTGTTGTGTTTTCGTTATCCGTGTGTGTAGGCTGAGTCTCTCCGTTGGTGGATACAGCAGCTTTCTCGGCCTCTTGGAACCATTCGTCGGGAAGTCCTTTGATAAGGACTTCAAGGTCAAGCCCTTCTGGAGTCTGAACGATATCCTCAGCTGGTAATTTATCGCCCATTTTCGAGATGTTTGTATACCGCTCGTGAAGTCCCGATAGGGCAGCATCACAATTGGTCAAAGGGAGATGTTGGATAGTGGCTAATTTAATGTTAGTCATGGGTCAAAATTTTCATAGGATCCTCTTATTCAGACTCACCATCACAGCTCTTGTTTCGCCAGGGACAGTTTTCGCCATGAGCACTGCTTAGCATTTTCGCATACTCAGCCACCAGCCTCGCGCCTGCAGAAATATACGTTAGTATATAACCTTGTTCAGCCGTTCTAGCAATCTGTTGGATTACTCACGGACTTCCTTGCGCTCCTCCACCTTCTCAATGTTGAAACCATCGAGCTCATCGATTTCATCAGGAAGCTTCACGACGACTGCGCCACCGCAATCACTCACGCAGGTGACACGCATCACATCCGTACATATCCAACCACGTTTCGCCCATTGTACTTCATTGATCGGGGATGGCTTTGAAGTCCATCGGTCGACACGGCGGAAGGTCTCTAAGCGCTCGAGAAAACGTTCGCGGTCCCAAGGGACAAAGGTTGGGCGCTTATTCGAATTTGCGGACGCTATTCGGTGCGCCGGTCGCGAGATCTTGTGGATTGAGTTGCGCACCGCTGTGAGATCCGAACGGTCGGCATTGGCCAAACGTACTTTCTTGATCGATAAGTTGGCGGAGAGACGGTCCTGCACCGTCGTTGGCGTCGCAGTGGCTGGTATGGGCGCGCTGTCGGGCGTAAGAGGTTTGGATATTGATTCGAGAACACGATGGAACTTGCGCTTCTTTGATTCCAAAGCGTAGGACATATTGGCGCTGCGTTGGAAGGCAAGTCAAGTGAGGCGGATCAATACAACGCGGAGAGTTGGAGCTGCGGCGATCATAACGCTTGAGGTGTCTCCGCCTCAGGCATCAACATTGATATTGGATCCATACATGGATACTCACGGTCAGTTCTAAATAAAAACGATATAGATGTCGGTATTCTCTCAATTATCAATTTAATTCTACTGTTAACTGTTGTGTATTGTTGACAGGGCTATTCCACTCCGACAAATGCTCCACTGCTGATTGGCCGAGATATTCCGCGAGATCGTACAATCCCCGAACTTCAGCAACTTTCTTCTTTCACTCATCCGCCTTAACCATGGCTTCTGTGGGGAGCTCTCTGTCGCTATGGCGGGGTGTTGCGCCTCGTTTGGCAAAGGACTTTTTCACATCCCAATGCCTCCCAAGTCAGGGCTACGCAGCCAAATCAATCCGCCAATTCGGTGCCCTTCAGTTCCGTCAACCCACCAAGATTCAATCGAACCTTCTGAACAATAAGAAATTCTTCTCCTCCAGTCTCAATCGTTCAAATACTGCACCGGCCGTTGCAGAGGCGGTCGAAGGGGGCTCCGCAAAAGCCAAATCGAGTTTCCCCAAAATTAGTGACAAAGCCGTTGCATACTGGCTTCTAGGCAGCGCGGCCAGTGTTTTTGGAATTGTGGTATTCGGTGGTTTGACACGTTTGACAGAATCAGGGTACGTGGACCGGACTGCTGGGTCTTCAAGAAAAATTAGCCTCGGATGCTGACGGGATACATTTTTGGCAGATTGAGTATCACCGAATGGCGACCTGTTACCGGCTCCCTTCCCCCAATGAACGCGGAACACTGGGAGGATGAGTTCTCAAAGTACCGCGCCTCACCCGAATTTCAATTGCTTAACCCGAACATGACCCTATCTGAGTTCAAGTCGATCTACTATATGGAATGGATTCACCGGCTCTGGGGCCGATTCGTCGGAATCTCGTTTGTGCTGCCTGCAGTCTACTTCGTCGCTCGAAAGAAGGTCTCCACGCCCATGGCGTTGCGTCTCTTCGGAATTGCTGGTCTTATTGGTTTCCAGGGTTTCCTTGGCTGGTGGATGGTCAAGTCTGGCCTGAAGGATGATCTCTTTGCCCCGGGCAGTCACCCCCGAGTGAGCCAATACCGTCTGACTGCTCACTTGGGTGCTGCTTTCGCCTGCTACGTTGCGATGTTGTGGAACGGTCTTGCCATTTTGCGGTCTAACCGGTTGATGGCCGACCCAGTTGCTGGAATCAACCAGTTGAATGCGCTGCGCGACCCGAAGCTGGCCTTCTTCCGCCGCTCAGTCGCCGGTATTGCTCTCTTGGTCTTCACAACTGTCATTTCCGGTGGCCTCGTCGCTGGTCTTGATGCTGGTCTTATCTACAACGAATTTCCATGGATGGGTAAAGGACTGGCACCTCCAAAGGAGGAGCTTTTCGATGCCCGCTACTCTCGCCACGAGGACCGTTCCGATCTTTGGTGGCGCAACATGCTTGAGAATCCTTCTCTTGTTCAGCTTGACCACCGCGCCCTCGCAGTGACCACCTTCACCGTCATTTGCGGATTGATGGCTTACACCCGCGGCTCGCCCACCATGAAGCGCTTCCTGCCCGCACCTGCTAGAAAGGGTGTCCACGGCGTGTTTGCGTTTGCTTGTTGCCAAGTCGGACTCGGTATTACTACTCTTCTCTACCTCGTTCCCACCCCGCTTGCTTCCGCCCACCAGGCTGGTAGCTTGTTCCTCCTGACCTGGGTTATGATCTTGGGCAGCCGAGTCTGGCATCCGTCGCGTACGGCCAAGCTGCTGCAGATGGCTGCGAAGGCTCGCTCCCAGCAGCTTTCTAGCACTGCTGCCTCTGCTGTGAAGAGAGTCTAATTACATTGCCTCTCGAGTGTATGAATATGTCGGCCAAGGTTGATTGTGTTAATCAAACGCCTTGGCAATTGATACCATCTCCATTCATCTGTTGACTCGCGCGATTCTCGAGTCTTATTGTATAACTAGCATACCTACTCATTTATTGTAAAAACAAATTTTGAACTAAAATGAAGTTATTGGTTGATATCCTAATGTGCCAATCCGCTTATTTTTTGTTTTGTTTTTTTCGTCTTCTTTCTCGCCCTGCATACTTCTTTGTCCTCATCTTCCATATCTCCACACTTGCCTTCCACCGTTTTCTTACATTCAGCCTCCGGATCTCAGTGATAATTTCTTGCTCTCGCCTGGCTCGTCAAATCCGCACCAACTTACTCCGCCATCTTCGTAGAAGGTCTCGCAGCACGCGCAGGATTGCGACGTGTTATGATGTATCCAACAGGCAGACCGTCCTCGCCAATAGGGATATCAGTCTCATCCTGAGGCCACTCATCTCCAGCAATGGACAAGGTCATATCAGAATCAGTAGACAAAGCATCAACCTGCTGCTGCAGGACTCGGCGAGGTGCATGAACCACTCTCTGTCCACCTGCACTACCTCTCAGAATGCCGGTAGCACTGGTAGTTCCAGTTGCGTTGCCAAAAGCTCCAAGATCCAGCAGGGTTTGCGCAGCCCTAACATCAGCAATGGACTCGGAAGACCGATGTTCTTGGGCCCTATCCATAGGTGCCAAAGACACCGGCATATCACCGCCGCCCTCGGGGACATGAGTAGCTCCGAAGGAAGCATGAGTTCGGTCTCCGTTTCGGTCGGTCAGACACTTGCGGCAGATTTGCCAGCCGCAGTTTTGGCAGCGAGACATGCCGTTCTTGTTGCGCTTGTTGCATACATCGCACTTTGCGGTGTGGGCTGCTACTTCTGAGAAGTGAACGCCGACTCGTCGTCTCTGGACTCGATGGTTTGCGGTTGCGTCGCGGTTAATCCTTTGGCGGCTGACTTGCTTGTTCGGTGGTACCTGATTTGTTGGGATTCGTCGAGGCGCGCTGGGGGAGGTCTTCTCCGTGGTTGATGCCACCAGGATGCTTGGAGATAGCCGCTCGCGGATCGTTGTCTGCGCAGAGCTAAGAGTCGACTGCGTGGGGGTTGGGGACACCTGAATTTGCTGGGGTTCCTTTAGGCGTATAGGGAGTTGAGGGGTGGTATTCATCTCTATAGGATGGGCTTGTAAGCTGCACTTTTGGCCTGAGATGTAGGTTGTTATTCTCTCTTTCTTACCCCCCTCCACGTTCACATTGACTTGAAGAGCCCCCGCAGATACCTGTTGTTAAGTCAGCTATGTATGTTCCTCTCTTTCTCGTATATCTGCCATTCTATACGGACGTCTTGGTAAGTAAATCCGGGCTCCCGAAAAGCCTAACCAGATGTTAGAATGAATATCTCAAGGGAGAGACGGATAGATACAAACATTCTGGCTAGGGTCAGGTGGGACAAGCCATCCATTAGCTGGATAGGGTGGGTACGGGTTGGGAATGGTATTGATCTTCTGCGGCGAAGACAAGGAACTGTTGTCTGTTCCATCGTACATATTGCTAGAAAGATGCGAGTTCGGCTGTTTGCGCCTGTTGGCTTCGACGGACTCGTCGAGCTCTCGAAAAGATGGAAGACTCAGGTCTGGGATGCGAGGGAGAGGCATGGTATGATGACCCATGATTGTAAAAGAGCTGTGCTCGATGGTACTTGATGATAGTTGAAATATTGCTTTGACCGAAAATAAAAAAGAAAGAGGATGGGGATGTACGAAATGGAAATGGAAATGGATGGTGTAGATAAAAGGCTTGGGGTTGATGATGGTTCTCAGATGCAAGTTGTACTGGGCATTGTTATATACAGTCTCATGGGTTCGGATGACGCCTAGGGTTTAAGGAGAGGGCCGATTAAGGGTAAGCAAACAGATCGGAACCCTCGAAAACACAACTACGCTTACTTGATTAAATTGAGTATCTGGTCAATCTCTGGTCAATCTAATTAGGATTAACTATTTGGGAGTCCATGGCCTGCCTTCTAGCGAGATGAGGGTATCTACTTTACCTTATATCAACCGATCTTGAATCAAATACAACCAATAATTGTTTGAAAACTGGCGGTATCGCCTCGATGTTTTTGAGAACCTATTTTACTTGCTGCATTTATCATGAAACAGAGAATTGCATGCAAACCCCAACGCATACCAAATCAATAGCATCAACCTCTTCTGTTCGGGCAATCATGTCGTTTCATTCATTTGTGGGCTGTATATTCATCGTCAGTGATATCGGCTCGTGGAAATTTGCTGATATTAATAACATACGAATTCCTTCCTCGGGACTGGGCTCGATGCCAACGACTTCAGCAGCAGACTTGGGTTCGGCAGCGGTCTTGTCATCCTTCATCATGGGGAAGGTCAACACCTCCTTGATGCTGTAGTTGTCGGTAAGGAACATGACCAGGCGGTCAATACCCATACCCCAGCCACCAGTCGGGGGCAGACCGTACTCGAGGGATTGACAGAAAGTCTCATCAACCATCTGAGCCTCGTCGTCACCCTGGGCCTTTTGGTTGGCCTGCTCTTCAAAGCGCATACGCTGGTCGAAGGGATCGTTCAACTCAGTGTAAGCATTTGTGATCTCCTTGGTGCTATAATTTGGTTAGCGAAAATTTCTTGAACGCTAATTGGCTAATTCGGGGCAGACCAAATTTGGACCAATTTGGAATTGGGAAATTTGGAAAGAACAGCAGACTTTGAACTGTGACTTGGGTAAGTACTTACCAAACGAAGGCCTCGAAACGCTCGCAAAGACCAACATGCTCGCGGTGTTTCTTTGCCAGTGGCGACATCATTTGGGGGTGACCAGTGATGAAAGTGGGATTGATGCAAGTGTTCTCGATGAACTCGCCAACCAGCTTGTCAAGCATACGCGCATTGGTCTGAGGAGCCGAGCAATCCACCTTCATCTTCTTCAAAATGCGCTTGAGGAATTCGTTGGTCTCCTGAGTGTGAAGCTGGTCACCAGCAGGGAACTTCTCGCCACATGCCTCCTCCAAAGCAGGCATCATCTCCACTCGCCGCCATGGTGCCTTCCAGTTCACATTGTATGTTTCGCCGGACTGGGTGTGGAATACTGTCTCATAACCACCAGTGATTTGCTTGACCAGACCGGAAACGAGGTCCTCGGTCAAATCCATAAGGTCGTACACATCCGCATACGCCTGATAAAACTCGCAGGTGGTGAATTCGGGGTTGTGAGTGAGGTCAATACCCTCATTGCGGAAGCAACGGTTAATCTCATATACACTTCTCGAATTAGTCCGGGTCGATATAGAATAAAAAAATTAACATACCGTTCCATTCCGCCTACAATCAGCATCTTTAGGTAGAGCTCAGGAGCGACTCGCATAAAGAGGTCCATGTTGTGTTCATTGTGGTGGGTAATGAAGGGTTTGGCGGTAGCACCGCCAGCAATAGCGTTCATCATAGGAGTCTCAACCTCAGTGAAGTCACGGCTATCGAAGTATTGGCGGATGTAGGAGACAATCTTAGCCCGAGTGCGGAAGATTTCACGTGATCGCTCATTCATGATAAGATCCAGGTAGCGCTGACGGAAACGCTGCTCTTTATCCTGGAATCCGTAGTGTTCGGAAGGAATAGCGTGCAGGCAAGGGGTCAAAAGAATAACCTCGGTAGCGAAGATGGAAAGTTCACCGTCGTCGCGGTTCTTAGGGTTGGTCCGACCAGGGAAACCCACGATGCCCACAATATCACCTCTACGAAGCAGCTCATGCTGCTCCTCGAAAGGCTTTCCAGTCGCGAATTGTGCTTGGCACATTACCTGGACCTTCACACCCTCCGCGCGGATGTCGTAGAAGTTCAGCTTGTTGCCGGACGAACGCTTAGTGTAGATACGGCCACCAATGCGAACGGTGACATCGGGCTTCTGTTCGCCCTTCTGGAGGCCCTCATAGTCCTTAAGGAACTTTCGGAGGTCAGTGTCAACGTGGAATTTGTGCGGGTAGGGGTCCGGCTGCTTAGTTTCGCGCAGGGTATTGATTTTCTTGCTCCGAATCTCAAAGTATTGCTGGAATGGCACATTAATTAGCTTCGCATGACCCAAAAATTAATGCTGGAGCAAGGTAACTAACGTTAGGGGTCAAATTGGACTCGTCTTCCTCGGCGGATGATTTCTTTTCAGCCTTGGGCTTAGGGGGAGCAGCGGCCTCCTTCTCCTTCTTCTTGGCGTCCTTCTCACGCTGCTTCTGGCGTCTCTTCAATTCCGTCTTGGATACCTTTTCGCCGGTGACATCGTCGAGAAGAAGGTTGGCAATGGAGGCTGTGGCCTCTTGAACAGGGTTGGAGTCCGCCATGATGTGTGGTTACAGAGAACAAAAAGTGGGATGGTGGGATGGTGGGATGTGGATGGAATTTTTGGGCGGGATCGGCATGAGATGTGATTGGACGATTGCGGGGGGTCTTCCAACTTTCATGACTCATTCTTAAATTGACCCGACTCGTTCACGAAGGCACTGAAATACCTACATATTAACTACATATGTAAATACCGTTTCTATTGAAAACTTATGTCCTATTACCTGGACTCTACTTGTCTCGTATTGTCGAGCATAGTTCGCGGATACACCATTGGAATTTAGGGTTTAGGGCACGGGTATATATATCTACTTCCAACGTTGTAGTGACTGTTATGTTCAACAAGACGAAGCGTTGGTAGGGCATCCACTGCCAGAAAGTAGTCTTTGGTTATTTGTCAGGGCATCAGGTCTACAGTTGGGTTAGCTTAGCTTACTCAATATCCAGACGTACATACTTTCCTATTATGGAGTAAAGTGCTCTAGTACGACTAGTAGATAGCCCTGGTTAGCTCAGAGCACCCTTGTTAAAATCTAAGCAAACAAAAGCACAGAATACATGATATTAATGAACTAAGATGGCTACTATGGCAGGAGGTTTCCAGAGCTAGTAGTTGCTTATATTTAGGGCATGAACCGGTGCTGACATGCCAACTTGGGTGCCCAGATGTTGCAGATGTCACAGATTCAGTGGCCCGTGGAGGCCATTTACGGAATGATTTGGTGACGATTATCATAACATACTATGAGGTAGTTAGGTATCCGAGCAATTATGTAACCCATCCTATTTTGGAAATATAACCACAGCTCATGTCCCCTTGTCTTGAACCTTAGGCCAGTTTCGAGCTGAGGAAATTTGAAGAGAATAGGGAGCTTATAAGATACGTTATAAGGTTCTGGTTTACGACCCGTTGTAGTCACTATGTTACAGAGAGTTTATCGCTAGCTTTACTTTTGTCGAGAGGATATACTTCTGCATTTTGGTGTGCGCTTGTCGTGATTCCTAATTTATTCCCCATGCATTCCTTGCCTGGCGAACTGCAGATGCTTCTTCTTGTTAGATTCGGTTATAAGGATCTATATAAATTCAAATTGTAGAAACCCGGAGCGAGAAGAAGGGCGATATGCGCCTGCTGAAATACGGTCTACCAGCACCTTGTCGACTACCTTCCGTCTCTTCTTTTACCTGTCGTTTAGGGGAGAACCTCTTGCATCCTTTCTTTTTTCTGTCATTTATCATTCTCTAGCTATCCGAAATCATTTTGCTTGCTTTTTCCTCTACCACTCTTCTCTCCCTGTCATTATCACGCGCCTACCCTTGTTCTTCATCATCTTCCTTCGTTCACCCAGCTCCTCGACCTCAATCTCGCCTGTCTCCTCCTAACTGCCGACACCAGTTTATTTATTTCTATTTGCAAACTTCGCCTCTTGGCTCTTTCTTTTGCCTCTGGTACACCTCATCATCTGCAGTGGTTTTCGCTCTTTCGGCCAACTTGGTCTTGAGAATCACGCTTGTCTCTGATTTGCGTCCACCTTCATATCCTCTGCCTTTGTCATCTGTTCCTCTTAGTACGTCTCAATTTACCTTCCGCTACTGCCAGTGACCTTGGCCACCACTCCTTGTCTCCTGTCTTCCCGGTCTTACGGCTAACGAGAATTCCCCCAGACTTGATCCTTCATCATGTCAGGCCTGTATGACCGAGTTCCGAAATCGGAACCCAGCCCAGCAATTTGTGAGTCCAGTCTCTCTTAACAAAGACAGTCTTCTCGCTAACTGGTCGCCTCATTTCTATAGCTGGTTTGGCTGTTCCAGTTCCAGTGTCTCATGGCCTACCTGACATCACTCCAGCCCACCCAATTCCCGGTGCCACCCTTGATAATCTCACGATGGACATGAAGAATTTGGTAAAAAAGATCCAAGACCTCAGTCACTTAGGAATTGAAGACAGCAAAATTATGCTTCCAAAGATATGTGTTGTCGGTGACCAGAGCACCGGAAAAAGCTCCCTTATCGAGGGTATTTCCGAGATCAAGGTGCCCAGATCCGAAGGAACCTGCACGCGGTGCCCCCTTGAGATCAATATCTCTGAAAGCGAAGACACCTGGAAATGCGTGATCCACTTGTCACGCCGCTACATCTTCGATCCCTCGAAGCGGATGAAGATGCCGAAGAAGTCAGAGCCACTGGGACCATGGATTGCCCTTGGTGGGCAAGATGATGAACATTTTATCACCTTGGATAACAAAAAGGATGTCAAAGGGGCTATCCTGTGCGCACAGTTAGCAATTTTGAATCCTAGCACAAATTCACAGGATTTTCTTCCCGGATCGACCGACATGGAACAGACGCCTCAGGTTAAGTTTTCTCCGAATGCCGTCCGCTTGGACATCTCCGGCTCTGGTCTTCCAAATCTATCCTTCTACGATCTGCCTGGAGTGATAAGCCAGACCGAACAGGATAATGAACGTTACCTGGTGAATCTGGTCGAGAATCTGGTCAAGGATTATGTTTCTCAGGAGCATTGCATTGTGCTCCTCACACTGCCCATGACAGGGGATGCAACAAATTCCAGTGCTGCTCGTCTCGTCCGGGACATCAAGGGCGCAAAAGAACGTACCCTTGGAGTCCTGACCAAGCCTGATCTCCGTCCTCGCGACGAAGCATTTCACCAATGGCACGAGATTTTAGATGGAACCAAGTTCAAGCTTGGCCACGGTTACTATGTCATTCGAAACAATTCGGATCCACTGGTCAGCCATATGCAGGCGAGGAAGGAGGAAGAGATGTTTTTCGGCTCTTCAATGTGGACAAGAGACCTCGCCGAATTCGAGGACCGCTTTGGGATCGGACGGCTCCAAACGGCATTGTCTGACCTTTTGATGCGCCAGATCTTAGGTTCTTTGCCGTCGATCATTGCCCAGATCGATGAAAAGTCGAAAGCTATCGATGAAGAACTGCAAACATTGCCGAATCCTCCTACTGAAGATGTGCAGCGTATCCTTTGGGGCAAAACCTCGGATCTTGAACGGAAGATTCATGAGCTATTTGATGGAACACCTAGTATCGAGCATAGTCCTTCCCAACGAAAGCCGCTGCAAGAGCAGTGGAACAAAATTGTTATGGACCTTCAGACCGCACTCGCAAAGACACGCCCCGTCTTGGACGTTGCTGCGCAGAAGGACAACGAAGACTTGGCAGAAATTGTGGATTCCGACTGTGAAATGAAGATCGTCGGTATCAATATGTCAACACCAAAGAAACGAAAGTCGCCCACGAGTGCTACTTCCATATCAGAGCCATCAACTCCGAGAAGAACTGTGTACAGCACCTCCCACTTTGAAGGATCGAAGTCTACCCGAATCACTCTGCAGCAGCTCACAGAACTCAAGATTCGCTCCAACACGGTTGGTGTGCCAAATCAGCTTGATCCCCGGGCAATTGAAAATCTGAATAAAAGAAGTGTTGAACATTGGGGAAAGCTCATGGAGATTTTCCTAAAGGCTACCCATAACCTTGTTCACGGCATGTTGATTGAAGCCCTTGAGGAAGAGTTCGCCCAATATCACCAGACTGGGCTGTATCAGGAACTCAGCAGAATCTTGAAGGAATTCATGAGCAAGCTCCGCCATGCTCATCTTCATATCGCCAAAGATTATTGCAAGTCCGAGCGTGAGATACCGTTCACAATGGCCCAAGGTCAACATCAAGTTCTCATGCAACAGGCTTCGAACTCTCTCAGAGCTCGTCGACTCAATGCTCGTGCCAGTTGCTGGCTTAAAATTCGTGGCCACGATATGACTGACGAAAGAATTTCCGAAAAGATCAAGAAGATTCAACCAGAGCAAATTGGTCCTGATAGATACTCTCAAGAACTTGAGATGATGGCCGTAAGTCCTCTAGAGGATATTTCCTGAAATTTACTAATTGCAATAATAGAGCTCGCTGGCCTACTACGATATCGCGTCTTCTCGTTTCCTAGACGTCCTATGCCAGTCCACTCACATGAAGTTGTTCCGGGCTTGCCGTGCAAGCCTTGTCAATACTCTTCGTGACGACCTGGAGATTTTCGGTGATAACGGTGAGCATGCACATTATATGTGTCCAGTATGACGCTGAGAAATGTTGCTAACAGGGTTCTTAGGTCGTGCCCGATGTCTTGACCTTATGACGGAGGATCCCGAACGCCAGCATCGCCGTGCTCAGTTATTGAAAGAGCGTGAAAAGTTCAGCAAAGCTCAAGAATGGTTGGACTCTGTCCGAGATTCGGATGTCGAAATGGAGGATTCCGATCAAACTGCTCTTGCAGACATCAAAGAGGATTGGTGATTTCCAAAATTGTCGTCTCCTGTTGTCTTCACGATTTTACTACTTACACTGATGTTGATTGACCCAAATGTGGGCTTGAAGTGGCTGTTCTCAGGGAGTGCCTGTGTACTTCAATAATGTTTCGACTATGATGGAGGGATGGAGATATGAACCGGTTGGAAAAATGTAAAAACACATGAATAGCAAAACAAAATACAAAAAAAGGAAATTGTTCAGATTGACATCAAGTGACAACGATCTATATACATCAGCAGGTGGTTCGGTTCATATATATCGCCAATATCAAAGAAATTTCGGGTCTTTGAATGACAGGGATCTGAGAAATAATTTGTAATAGAGATTGGCTATAATTATGCATTCTAACATATTTTTCCATAGTTTACGAAACCGGAGAATATCTCTCTAAGAACTAGACTTCTGTGGACTCTGAAAAGATCTATCATGTGGCTTTTAAGGCTCTCTTTACCCTGTCCCTGTATACCTTACCAACGTCTAGCCCTACTCGAAACCGGGTACTTGGTGATGGACTATATTGGAAACTCCGAAGTTCAAACGGCGTTTTTGAGGAGGAAGAAAAGCGGTTTTCCCCTATCAACAATGACCATTCTTATAGGACAAATCTTATGAGAAATGGTTTGCAAATCGGAAACTTTTGTTATTTCCATGCTTTGGACAGCCCACAGAGTCTGTTCAACCTTTTCTCTCAACATATATACCCCCTTTTTGCACTTCCCACTCATTCAAAGGATAATTTTGCACGGGTTATATCAGACTTCTGGGCTCCCTTAGCTGCCAAGCTCCAAGATAAGGAGTACGAAAGGTCGCTTTGTCAAAGGTTGAGGATGCAGTTGTTAGTGACGAAGATGGGGATTCGGAGCATTAAGAGGAGTTTGGATGGCTATAACTTGACAACAATCTTGTATCGTAAATGGATAATTCGCGGACAGAAAATGCATCCCTTTGGAAGTTCCACTCTTACGTGGGAGTTTGATGAGCAGTTAAAAGCCTCTATGGTCTATGCTTAAATATACATGAGGGTGAAGTGTAGTCTACAAGAATGAATATGATGTGCTCTTACCCTTGATAAGCCCTAACTGCCGGGTACGTTGTATAGGACCACACCGCCAATGGAGGGCACGTCATTGCAGTTATCAGATCCCAGTACTCCACAACTGCTGAGATAGTCAGATATTGTTAAAAATAGCTCTCAGCAAGGGGTAGATATCTTCTAGTATAATCAAACAAAAAATCTACTTAGATATCACATAAATTCCATAAACCAACGAAGCATTGAAAATGTGAGACCGAAAGGAGTAAAATGTTGTCAGGTGCCCCACCGAAAGCGTCGTCTTGGCGTTTTTTGGGAGCTTCGGGGTCTCTCTGGCCTTTTGAGTTCTTGTGACTCTAGTCTTCACATCTCTTTGCATACCGTCATGCTTAATATACCAATGCGTGAAAATCACAACACTCAGGCTTCCACCAAGGCCGTGATCTTGGTGAGTAACAGAATCATCGCGATAAACAATAACTGACACTTTGTCCACAGGTCGGAGGCCCCTCTAGAGGTACTCGGTTCCGCCCATTGTCCCTCGATGTGCCCAAGGTATGCATCTGCATCTCATTTGATCGTCCATATGGATATGCGCTGGACACAAATTGACACTGCGATTCCCATAGCCCCTATTCGAAGTCGCCGGCCACCCCATAATCCACCACTGCCTGAAGGCGGTGGCTAAGGTCCCCGATGTACGCGAAGTGATGTTGGTCGGATACTATGATGAGAGCGTATTCCGGGATTTTATCAAGGATGCCTCGAAGGAATACCCCCAGCTCCGCATCCTCTACCTGCGGGAGTACACAGCGTTGGGCACCGCAGGTGGGCTGTACCACTTCCGTGATGCGATCCTCAAGGGTAAGCCCGAGCGTCTGCTTGTGCTGAACGCCGATGTCTGCTGCTCATTCCCGCTGGGCGAGATGATGCGACTATTCGAAGAGAAGGACGCCGAGGCTGTGATCCTGGGTACACGGGTGTCGAACGACACGGCAACGAACTTCGGCTGCATCGTATCCGACTCCCACACCAAGCGTGTACTGCACTACGTCGAGAAGCCCGAGTCACACATCTCCAACCTGATCAATTGCGGTGTCTACCTCTTCGCTACAGAGTGTATCTTCCCCGCCATCCGTAGCGCTATCAAGCGCCGCACCACCCGCCCCCGCCTCCTCTCGTACCCCTCCTCCGATAACCTGGAGTCCTCCTTCGTCGCCACCGGAGTCGACGAGGACGCCGAGAAGAGCGAGGTCCTCCGTCTGGAGCAAGACATCCTCTCCGATCTGGCTGACAGCAACCGCTTCTTCGTCCACGAAACCAAGGACTTCTGGCGCCAGATCAAGTCCGCCGGCTCTGCCGTGCCTGCCAACGCACTATACCTCCAAAAGGCATTCCAGGCCGAGTCCCCTGAACTCACGGCCCCCTCTGCCACCATCGTGCCTCCGGTCTACATCCACCCCACTGCCTCCGTTGACCCCACCGCCAAGCTCGGTCCTAACGTCTCGATCGGCCCACGTGTCGTCGTCGGCGCCGGTGCCCGTGTCAAGGACTCGATCGTCCTTGAGGACTCCGAGATCCGCCACGACGCTTGCGTCATGCACTCTATTATCGGCTGGAGCAGCCGTGTCGGTGCCTGGGCTCGCGTGGAGGGCACTCCCATCCCCGTGGGCAGCCACTCCACCAGCATTGTCAAGCAGGGTATCAAGGTGCAGAGCATCACCATTCTTGGCAAGGAGTGTGGTGTAGGCGACGAGGTCCGCGTGCAGAACTGCGTGTGTCTTCCTTACAAGGAGCTTAAGCGGGTATGTTATTATTTCTTATTTCTTTTCTATAAGCCGTTGACTAACAATATCTCTAGGATGTGTCCAATGAAGTCATTATGTAAACTGAACTTTGGTCATCTTTGGTCGAAAAGTACCGCCCTGATCTTTCTCCTTGATACGACTTGATTGTCGGGTTTGTCTCATCTCATCTTATCTTCTGGTTGGATGGTTATTTGCTTCGTGAGCGCAGCCGATCTAAGGATCTTTTTGTTTTAATCTATCTAGAACGAACCCAAAATGAAAGAGTCGTTGGATTTCTCGTATTCTCACATTGCTATCTGGTATATCTGCGCAGTTTTGTTTCCCTATAAATATCACATATCCCAGGAATTGATCCCCCGAAAACGCCGTCATGCAGAATTTCGTGAAACACCTGAATATAAACATTGAGATTACAACCCCAGATGAAGATCGTAAAATCCCGCTGCTATCATCAAATCAAATAAAAACAAAAAAGAAATAACCCCTGAGTACAAAAACTTCACTCAGCGATACATAGCGGGGTCATACCCAGTATTCTGCGCAGGCCTCTGATGTCCATCCTCATCAAAAGCACTAAAACGCACCCTGGGCGCACCACGGTGACTCATCCCCGGCGCCGTATCATAATAATTCTGCGCCTCGCCAGCATGCGCATGCTCCAAATTATGCTCATAAACCGAGGGTCCATGCGCACCCGACATCGCGGGGGGCACATTATCATAATCATGCAAGGCGGGGGTGGACTCGCTGTGACGATCATCCATCTTGACATCGAATGCGCCCGAGTCATCGAGACCCGGGTGTGAGCCCATGGGGTCGTAAGCGCCGAGACGTGTCTGGCGCCGACGAACGGTCACGTCCAGCCAGACAGCGGCGATGTAGCTGACCAGCCCGATGATGGTGAATGTGAAGAGGGCTTTGTAGCTTCGGCAGACGGCGATGCCAGTCGAGTTGCCCCAGTAGGTTGTTGTACATGATGTTGTTATTGTGCTTGACAAGCTCCAGCTTAGTAGGCCCAGGGATAGGGCCCAGAGGATGATTAGGAGGATGTTGAGGGATATGGAGAGTTTTGTTGATAGACCGCAGGTGCAGTGGATTACTGAGGTTAGGATTATGTTGAGGAGGGAGATGCCTGATGAGACGAAGAGCTGCGGGGGTAGTTTTTGTTAGTATTTATTTGGGGGGGGGGGGGGGGGGGGGCAATTTTTATTTGAATGGTTACTTACCACCAGGAATGAATATGGTAGTTTGTAGCCATCGGCGTGGAGGTGGTAGGTAAACACTGCCAAGATCACGCCTACCACGAGTGAAGAGAGGGAGATCAAGAAACGGATGAGATGAAAGGGCACCGGCGGGTATGCCGAGGGTTTAACTGAAGGTGATCGCATGGCGAAAGGTGTGATGTGAAGATGAAGAGAAATCAAGAGAATGGAAGTGGAAGCCCCTACCTAAAGGTCAACATCTTGATCGGCGCTCCACTTTGACACGTTTGGGCGTGCGTCATGGGCGCTATTTTTATATTTTCGCTTTTGCACCTTATAATTGTCTCAAATATAAGAATTTAGATTAAATTGTGGGGATATGATATTGTAGATATAATGTACGAGATCGAGATCATCTCCAATGTCTTATGTATTTTGATAGTTAAAATCCTCAAAAACCACCATTTTTCCCAGTCAATAAGTCGATAATTTAAACCATCCGCTTCTGCAACAACAAAGATCATCTATCTGCTAGCGCAAGGCCTAAGTCCCCAGCCTATATGTGTCGTCGTATCATTTGGACCCCAGACGACTAAATGCCGTCCCACATCTGCCGATCGGCTCCATCGAGCTCCACATAACAAGGTCGTTGACAGGGGCAACTGGGCCGAAAATATCATACACAGATTATTGATCAAAATTGATCAAAATTGACCATAATCGTAACTAGGGAATATCCAACTCTAGCAGCCGTGCAAGAAGGGGTGTGAAGTCAATACCGCCCGGTAGTAACTATGGCACGACCTTAAGAGACGAGTCAAGTGTTGTTTCTTGGCTTTGCCAACTCGTAACCTTCACTCTCTATCTCAAACAATATCAAGATTACACTCCCAATCCCGTACACGTTGACAAGCTCACTATCACCGCTCATCCGCTCTCCTCTAGCATAATGTCATCCTCCACGTGGTTCCGGAAGGGAATTGACCCCTGGGACTATAATCACCCTCGACCAGCCTATCCCATCAAAGTGGAAAATTGTAAAGAAATTGAATGTGTATAGTTACCAGCTGGACGAAGAGCAGTACCGTCTTGGTTTCCGCTTATCCTTCGCCTGCACCAAACTTCTCTGTTGCGACCCTAAAGACGATACAAAGCTTGCCTTCATGTAAATATACCTCCAAGTTCCCTTCCGTGGTACTGAAATGGATGATGCACAAACAAGAGCCAGCCAGGCCATGAAGCGCACCCCGCAAGAGTTAATCGCCTATCAAGACCTTACTTGGAATTCAAGCAATACCCCAAAGCTCTTGGGATACAAAACCACCGCGCAGGATAACTTAGGTCTAGTCCCGGGTAGGTTCGCGGTCTGGCTGGTGTGGGAGATAGTGCCAGGGCGCAGCCCTGGCAATAAGAATGGGCCTGATGCATTTTGGGCTCTTGATGATGGTGAAAGAGACGGAATCCGCGCGTCCTTTGTGGAGACTTTCACGTAAGTCACTATGCTGTCTCTGCCTTCGGAACTAACGGCGGAACTCTCGTGAGATGAGGAAGGTTGGGTATCTCCCTGATAATACTACGCTTAGTAGCCTGGTCTGAATCAAATACCCTGTACGTCTACGCACGCCGGTCTTAATCGTACATGGGCTATAGTTATTTCATCGGATTTCGCGATTGTAATATTGGGCAAGCCAAAGGTCCGACTGTGGTTGTTAAATGGATGGCATTTTACGGGCTTGCCATACCGGACTCGAATGAATGGCTTAAGAAGGGATGGAATCAAGATACCTCGGCGTGGAAATGGCAGTTCACGAAGGTCTGACGAAGATGAATCATTGATAAAATTATTATTCTGACCTCTCTATGGCTATTTCAAGAGATGGTGTAGGTAGTGGTTGTTGCTTTGCTTTGTGGATGTGACTCGGTTGTATTGAGCGTTTCAACGTCTTGCTGTTTCAAAAGCTTTTCTGTCTATTCCAGTATAGATGTTATTTGCTGTCCACCTGTATCTGGAGTCCGATTAGCGATTTAGAAACTTGCGTTGCAAAGCCCGCTATCCCGCCCCATATTGTTGACCCTAGCCGGCCTTAGTAATTCAATATATCTAGGGCAAGTACTGGGGATTATTGAACAAGATATGCAGCTCTCGGCCTCAGGTATCTCCGTGAGGGACTCGAGGCCAGTGGTGTAATTTCTCCTCGCCCTCGTGCCTGGACACAGTGTTTGTTAGAACCGAGGTCAACTGATAAGATTGGTAATAGAGATACTGAGAAGCTATTATATTCCTCATTTCAAAAGCCAAAAAAGTGTAGGTACGTACCTGGGCAAGGATGATAGAGCTACCTGTGTATACATGGAAGCTTCAAAAACAGATTGACTCAATATGCCTAACTATATAGGAAAGCCACTTTCTACTGCCTTTATATACATCTAAAAACACCATCTAAGAAGAGCACCTGAAAAACACCTGAAAAGAACGAGTAACAACACGTTGGTATGTTCTTGCATATAAACTCCCTAATATCATATGAAGCCAAATAGATGGATCTCTTAAAGTATTAGAACTATCCCTTTCCCTCGCAATTATACAAACGTGCGTCATTTGGTGCTGAATATCTCAATTTGGGCCGACTATGAGCTTGTATAATGAGGAACCAATCAGAACTGCCGCGCCGCGTTATCGACTCTCTGCCTTCAGGGAACTTCATTACAAAAACAACCTACACCACCTGCACTCAATCTTCATTTCCCTTTTACAGCTCAATCTTGTGCAACAGGAGCAAACAATTTCAAGTGTGTCACACAACACACGGGCTTTTTCCGCCCATATTCCTCACAAACCAGCTCCGAAAGCTCGAGAGTCGTCCATCCCCCACCATGTCGACCTACGAAAGTCCGAATCCCCATCACTCAAATAAATCCAGAATCTCCAAAGCTAACATCATTCCAGTCGAACACAATACTACCGACCCCTCAACGGCCACCACCGCACGCCGCCGTCGCCCCGACCTCTCCACCTTCTTCTCAACCCTGTCCCAGATCACTCCAGCTCCCGACCACAGACCCCATGCAGTCCCCGTCCCAGGAGATGTGAGCGCAGCATTCTTCTCCCTCGCAGAGGCGTTGGATACAATGCGCCGCGAGACCGATTCCGCGCCGCGCCCAGACGCGCAGGAGGGCGCCGATAACGCCGACTCAGATACCGGTCGCGATCTGTTGACCACGATGATCCATTCGTTGCTCGCGCAGGCAGATACACCGCCGCGCGAGGTGGAGGGTGTCGATGAGGAATTCTGCGATAGTAAGAAAAACTCTATTAGCTCGCTGTGTCCATCAATTTCCCCCGCACTCAGCGGGGCGATCCAAATGTTTCTTAGTCGTTTATATAACTAACCACGCCTGGATCTATCTAGTGCTCGAACGCATCCCAAAAGCATCCCTCAAACCTGATGATACCTGCCCTATCTGCAACAACCCCTTCGTGGAAGATCCCTATCCGCTCGTCGTCCAGCTGCCCTGCCACCCGACACACCGCTTCGATATGGAGTGTGTGCGGCCCTGGTTGCGGCTGCGCGGGACGTGTCCGCTTGACCGTGTAGACTTTGCAAAGCAGTTGAGAGATAAGGCGGAGGCGAAGAAGAAGCTTGTTGAGGAAGATGAGGAGGAGGAATGGGATGGTATGTATGGCTAAAGGGGTCTTACCTGATACTATGCAGACCCATGATTTTTAAGCTGTCTACTGTGATGGATATTACAAGGCAGTATTTCCTATCTTAGCATGAGTGAATGACTGTTGCATCTATCGATCATGTACATTCGAACCAAATGGACATTGAAAGTATGGTACTTGAACAAGCGAACACAAGCTATCAAACATATGAATAGTATGAAAATATGCGGAAAACCCGTAAAGGAGGGTAACAATGGTGTTTTCGGTGTATAATCTAGGCGTCTTGGATCCAAAACTGCATTCGCACTTAGATTTCGAATCTATATCCCGAGGCTTTTCCAGTCCTTTGTCCCCTCGTTAATTTTCGTACATGTAATATAATTAGTAAACCCGCTTCAAAGACCTTTGTACTCTCTTTGAACAAGCTTTGGGGCAGTTTCATTCATCTCTTTGTCTAACAAAGGGCATACATGTTCATTGTTAATCTGAAATCCTCATCGAGGATCTTCCCGCTGCTCACATATAAATACCAAGTCCCCAAGCCCTAATTTTGACATAATTTTTCATACCACATCACATCCTCTCTACAACTCATATCTTTCTCTATACTTCAACCGAGTTACAGACAGTGACATCACCCACAGAGTATCAGACACATAATCAGGGTATTTTCTCCTCTCATTCCCACCTGTGCAACTTTATCTACTCGCTTACTCCACAGGTTACCATCCTCACCCCTATATATCTCAACATTGGAAATCCAGATACTTACAGGTATGTAAGTATCCCAGCCCATCCATTCACCCTCCACAATGCCTACCCCAACAGAGACCCTCGCCCTCGTTTTCTTTTTCGTTCTACTGGGAGTAACCATCATGATAATCATGATTCTTGTCAAGGAGTGGACAGAGTACCAAGCTATGCAATTTTGGCCGAAACTGCGTAGTACTCGCACTCTCGATCTGGAATCGGGCCTCAATTTACTAGAGGAAATCAAGGAACTGACATGGCGCGTTGAGCAGATGGAAACTGACATTGGTCGCAAGATCCACCTTGCTGGATACTTGGCTCAATACCATGATCAACCCCCATCTCCTTAACCGCTCCATCTTGTCAGTATACCTTCCGATAACAGACGCAAGACACAACGACCGATCTCATCTGGATGCCTCCTATGCGTAGGGATAGTGCATGAGGTGTTCGGTCCGAGTGCGTTGCCCCAGTTCTCTGCCCTATACTCCCATGTCTTTCGAGGCGGCTCACCTTGATGGAACTGGAGTGGGTGGGGTTATTATAGTATATACCGGGCTAGTACTGAGGTACAGTACTGGCGGTTAATCATATTTTGATGATAATGCTGGAGAAGTTTGAATGTGTCTATGGTGGATATTTTTATGTTCAACTGATATCTACCATAGGTGCTGTTATTGTTTATCTTATTTTTGGAGGCATCTATGAATACGCCGTGGAAAGGGCGGAGAGAAAGACTATACCTACATAGGTATATAGGCAACCAGCTCAATATCTGTAGTCCTGGTAAAAAGATCGGATAAAGATAGCTGCTGAAATAACCTGCTAAACATCAATTAAAATGTAGGATTACCGTACTGATCGATGGTAGAAAATAATTTGTTAAACTTGGAAATGTATATCACCCTAGTCTAGTAGTAACTTGAATAATCTTGTAGACAATATATCCTTGATCTTTTCACTGTAGAGGTCATGGAGATCTGCAAGCAGAAAGATCAGATATTCAGGCATCAGCAGGTGTAGAACTACCATTTGGAAACATGCATGGATAGTTCTAATAGCAACCATATGCGCTGGTAGATATCTATATAAATATACATCATGGATCCTACAGAAGAAGAGAATTGTTATCGTTCAAAAGTATCATTCAGAGATTTTTTCGGTCTACTCTATGTACAGTATTCGGTACAGAATTCATCACACATAACTTTAATGTTTCATAAAACTTCCTCAGCCCGAGCTTTGGGCCGGATGGCCAACTTGCCTGCCTGGTTGATCATCGCTTCGTAACCACTCCGCTCCAGCACGCCGCCGTCCTTGTTGACAACCTCACGAGCTTCAAGTTCTTCAACCAGGCGCTGGTTCTCACGGTTACCCTCCAGCAAGAACTTAAGGCACATCACAGCATGCTCCTTAATGTATGGGTTGTGGGCGTCGAAAGCGGTACAGCAAAGAATCGCCTCAACACCGCCGTAACGACGAATCTGCTCTTGGACATCGGGACACTTCCAGACAAGCGAAGAGAGGACAAGCACAACCAGCTTCTTGAGGTTACGCCATTCGAACTCGGAGGGATCCTCTGTGATCGGAGGGGACTCGGGTCGAGAGTCGACACTGCCGGCGCCAGTGTCGACGGGATCTGGGTCGCTGGGATCATAAGGACGTTCGACGGCAACGGGGGCCGGGGGACTGGCGCTGGAGGCTTCGTTTGTGGTGTCGTTTCGGGGAGGAGGGGGAGGGGGCACGGAGCCAAAGGACAATTGGCTCAGCTGGCCCTTGGGGATGCTTGCTTCCAACTCCTTGATCAGTGTCACCAGGTCGTAGACAATCTCCCATTTAACCAGCAGGTTCTTCCAGTCGTTGTTTTCGGTCAGCACGGCGAAGAACTCCAAGAACTGGTAGACACCTTCGTATACCCGTTCCATGTCCCATAGATTGAGCGGGAAGTCCTCCGAAAGAGCCCGGTCGGCGCGGATCTGGCCTTGGAGGTAGATCAGAGCACAAGTCTCGGGGATGATGTTGCCACGGAAGATGGTGAAGATGTATCGGACAGTGAGAATATCAACGCGGTTCAGTGAACTTGGGTTGCGGGGGATGTTGGGCTGAGCCGAGCCCGTCACCGAAGCAGGAGAGTACTTGGCTCGGAAGATGTGGGTGAGGATCTTGATCACAACAGCCTGCGCCGGAGAGATGATGTCCTTGGGCTGACCGAAGTCCGAGTAGGCATGAGACATAAGGCCGTTCTTGAGCACGGCCTCCATGATCTGGACCATCATCTTAAAGTAAAGCTCATCATCGGGGAGATCCCATGCTGCAATGAAAATCAATAGTTCACGCAGTAGGTTACGTCCTGTCTCCTGCGTGAGTAGGATGTGACAACGGAGCGCTTGCATGTTCCTAGATCCATTACGTTCGCCACCCTTGAGACCAAAGCTGTCCACAATACCAGCCTGGACAATCATAGGCAAAGCTTCGATTTCTGCCGGTCCAAGAACCAGAGGGATATCTGTTAGAAGACCCCGCTGTTGATCACCAGGACGGCCACGGTATTCATCGTCTTCCTCTTCTTCATCATCGGCTTCTCCATCGACGCCATCGTCATCCACATCATCCTCGCCATCTCCGTCAACGCTTCCGTCAGCCATGTGATCCAGGCTGTGCGAATCGTCATCTCCCACTGTGTGTGCGTCGCCGTGGTCATAGTCATGCTCTTCGTCGCCATCGATATGTGAGGGCTCCTGCAGCCGAGCCATGAGTTCGTCCTTGGCCTCTTGGAGAGTCTCTGCGGCAGATTGAGCCGACCGGGGCATACTGGTATCTTCGTCTGTGACAGGTCCATCCACAGCACCGAAATCGTTGATCTCTGGAAGATCGGCCCAGCAAAGACGAGGGAAACCAGCCGTGAGACTGCGGTCAATAGTCAGGATGGTCTTCTTCTTGGTGACTTCATGTTCCTCTTCTTCCTCGTCATGTTCCCTGTGATCGTCATGCTCTTGTTCTTCGTGGTCTTCAGGCTCCTCGTGCTCTTCCTCGGGAAGCGCAGCCGGAAGCTCACGAGCCCGGTCCTGAAGATCAGACCAACCGTCAACCTTAGCCCCAAGTATCGCAGTCAAAGCAGCCCTGATGTCCTTCACCTGGTCTGGGTCTCTACCCATTTCCTGGATAGCGCTGAGGTCTCGGCCCAAAATCCTCTCCATGTGATCCTTAATGTTGGCCAGAAGCAGCATAGCAGCCTCTTCCTTGATAGTTGCCGGCTCCCGCGGGAACTTGGCGATAGTCTCCAATAGCAAGTCCTCCGCAGTTTGGTCGTAAAGTGCACGAATCGGCGGGTTGATGACGCGCTCTCCAACTTGCACAATGGGTGCCACTCCTTCTCGGGAGCTGGCATCGTCCAAAGGCTCCTTTGGTTTTATGATGTTCGTATCAGCGGTCGAATGGTAACCAAACAGATCCAACCAAAGCACCATCTTGCGATGCTCGTTGTGCATAATGAAGTTATGAAGGTACTGGAGGCACGTAATCAGAAGGCGCTTGTAGAGGTTGACGACTTTCTGCCATCGTTCCTCGTTCCGCGCATTTTGCTCGCCATCGAAGCCTCGGGCAGTGACCCGAACACAGGTGTCGATGAGAGCCAAAATTCTTTGGTCAAATCCTGTTTCTGCCGCAAGGTTTTGTGCCTTCTTGGTTGTGGCGAGGAGGTTGCGGGCGATTGTACACAGATCATTCAAGCGCTCAATATCCTTGACCAGCGAAAAATAATTGTATGCGATCAGATTGGCAGAGGAATGTTCGTAGCTTGCTGCAGGGCTTTTCCACGCGAAAGATTGGGACTCGAGGACGGGGATTGCTTTGGTGAGGACGTTCGTGAGACCTTGCCAGATATCCGGCGACATGCCGAGATTGTGACTAGCGAGGCGCAACATATTAGTATACAAAGCGTGCAAATGCTCAATTATATTATTATCTTACCGAACATCGCTCTCCTGGTGTGTTTTGTACAGGATCTGCTTCCCAGCGGCAAGCATGTGCTCCAAGCGCTTGTCATCGATCATGCCCCGAACTTCGTAGTGGCTGAGGGTCCCTGCAAGGATTACCTTGAGCATAAGCTCAGCTGGCGTGCATAGTGGCTTTGGATCTGCCATCTTGCAAAGAAAATCCCTATGAAGTATCCCTTACGGTAAATAGCGGGGGGGGGGGGGGGGGGGGGGGGATCAGAGTGGGATGAGAGAATCAAAGATTCGGAGGTGTGGAGAGACAAATTTTCCGCCCGCATGAGTGTTATCGTTATCGCTCAGGGCTATTCCGCCTCAAAGAGAGAGTGACTTACAACACATGTCGAAAGATGTCTCTCATCCTACTTGCTACCATATATCACCCCGAACGTTTGTATGACAGAATGCTTTCCAAAAAATGCACCCCGAAATAAATTATTACCCACTGTCTAAGCAATAGTCACATCATTCACATCGATGAGGGGCTTTACGGGCCTTTCCTCAGCCGCTGGATTTATCACGCAAATAGGCCACCGAACCAAGATCCCTTGGTTGGCACTACGATCCGGTTTAATGGACAGTGAAACAAAGGAATGCCCCCTCGGATTGCTCGTACATTGACAACAACTTGACTCGGTTCTCCCATTGTTCTATGTCCCCCTTCATGATTGGTTCTCCAACCAGAATAATAGTCTACAGCGAGGGCACCTAGCCCGGATCTAGAATGCGGGCGATAGACGGGGTCATCGTAATAACGGTGGCCCCCAAGGGCCGAATGGCCCCGGCCATATCATTTTGAAGTTGACCTTCGGAGGGCAGACACAGATAACCACCCTGGATCAAAGTTCCGAGGTAATCAATAACGCTGACGGCAAATGCATGCGTGACAAATTGAAACACCATAGAAGGGCCATCGCGTTTTAACCCGGCGGGCGGATTCTTCGTATCCCACCCTGTGCAAACCGCCGCATGCTCGATCACCAAAGATCGTCCAGTGCCCATTCAGAAGACGCACATACAATCGGGATCCGATTCACATTCAATTAGTGTTGTACTGTAATAGAGAGCAGAGCGTCTTTCAAGTAGATATATTTTAGACCTTTGAAGCAAACTTTCTAACTCAACATAGATGTTATTTACAAAGAGCTTAAATACCGGATATCTCCTTAGGTCGACGAACAGATAATCCCATCACGTCCCGAAGATTATACCAGAATCCCATATCGTAGATGTTATCGACATCTCTCATAGTGTGGAGTCGCTTCCATCGAGGGTCAGGAGGCATGTCTGATTCCGGGCGATGAGCAATGCAATTGGAGTCGTTGACCAGTAGACATCCTTCAGTTGGAGGATCCTCATCAGTAACTAGGATTTGATCAGTATGTACAGGCCACAGTTGATCATATAAATCCATGGGGAGAGGGCGGTCGAAGATGAGACTTCGTTTTGTCTTGAATACAAAGCCGTCTTCCACATCATCTTTCCAATCGGACCACTTGGCACTCTCATTGGTTGTCACCCCAGCCCAGATTAGATACGTATGGTACGCCAGGAAAGATATTGCTAGCGGGGCAGTCATAAGCATCAGTAGAAATACTGCCCCGATCTTGGGATAAGCAGAGACCACAATACCCCATGTGTTGATCCAGACTGTCCAGCCTTGCATAGCCTTCTGTATCTCCGGCGGAACCGCTTGCTTCAACATCTCAGAGAGTATGGAATGACCAAGGTAGCAGCCGTAAATCAACATGGCAGAAAGGGAGACCAAGAGCGATATGAAGTACACGCAGTTGTTGGCGCCGACGCAGTTCATCAGCCAGACACAGTGGTGGTCGTGTCGAGAAACGCAGGCATGACAGAAGCTGCAATGCTTGCTGCGCGCTGGCTTGAGGAACTTGCAAGTGCTACATTCATGGCCCGGATGAAAAAGGACTCGGTCGTACGGATAGCGTCTCATCTCTTCTTCATGGTTCTCAGCTGTGATAAACGACTTGGTCACAACACACTTGTAGAGCAGGACATATGGCAAACTGATAGCGGCAGGTACCCAGAAGCGATGAATGCTCGAAAGCTGAAGCCATACGGCCGGGACAAAGATGCCTTCTCCAATGACCAGCAAGGAGGTAAAGAAGATCTAGTATGCAAGGTCAGTATCTTCAGAAGTAATAATAAATTCCCATATTTACCAGAACAAGCGGGTGATTCTCTTTCAATACATAGCTGCCAGATCGATTCCATCCCCGTACTACCCTCCCGCCGAACAAACGATTATCGACAACAGCAATTCCATTCGGAAAGTACACCCACAGTGCCCGATGTAACCAGGCGACAGGAGTTTTCCTTGACAAGTCAGCGTAGAGCTTCAAAGTCTGTAAGTTGGCGAATTACTTACCGGAAAGCTGGCAGCCTGCCAAATAACGCGATAAAGGTGAACGCCGAGATCGCCAGAATTACTAGACCAACGGTTCTGAGGGCTCCCATTCTGAAGCTTAAGTTCTCGCGGTAAGTTCAAAGGATATACTGTTATCTCTGCATCCCCCAGCAATATTATTCACGGTTCCTGCATTCCTTGACTCGTGATCGGTCAACACGTTTTCGTCGCAAGTGGTCGGTTTTATGTATGGCACGTGACCGCGTTTTCACTCTCGGCGTCAACCAACTATTTCATCCATGACCCCTGTCGATTGAGACGACCGGAATCTCATATGATCGAACTCAAGAACTGACAGTTGAGTCAGGGAGAGAACGTCTGTCTTGCACCATAGCCCGCTGTTGAATGGGAAAAAGCCCCTTGCGACACGTCAACACGTCAACACGTGATACCGTGTCGCAGACAAAGCTGGCCTACTTTCGGGGTGTAAAAGCCCGAAAAAAAGGGTTTAAACGGTTTTTGAAGAGCTGAGATGGCGACTCCCACATATGATTTGTCACGGGTTGAGACTACGACGATGAATCTGTTCCAAGGCGCACGATTCTGGCTATCTTTAACCGTTCCTCAAAGGCAGAGGTTCAAGGAATTAATCAAGGTATTTCGGGAACATTTATCTTGTTTCTGTGTTGCAGAGGTTAATGAATATCTAGCAATATGGTGGCACCGTCGTGCTGATGGCGAAGGATGCCGATGTGAAGCTGGTGGATCACACAAGGAAAGATCTGCCTAGTGACACGTACGGAATACTGAACTCTTCACTGGCTCAAGCTCAGTGTACTAATTTAATTTCAGTTTCTCCTATCAATATGTAGAGCGTTCTATCAACAAAGGACGACTCGAAGATCTAGAAGCCCACCGGGCTGGGCCCTCTGCACCTCGTCCAATGGGTGCATTCAATATTCCCACGAAAAGCAGAAGAGCGTACTTTACCTTGAAAGAGGATCAAATCTTATTTGACTGGGTCGAACACTTTGGACAGGAGCCGGGGGCGCCTATCCAAGGTAATAGAATTTATCAGGATTTAAGTGAACTGGTATGCTCTCCGGTTTCTGTCAAGGCCACAGAACGCACACATCAATATGATACTAACTGGTAGAACACAGTTTCCCAGTCACCCATGGCAGTCCTGGCGTAGTAGATACACGAAGCATCTGCGTGGCAAGGGCCGTCCAGGGGGCGGCACTCCATCATCATATGACGACCTTTTACAGTTTGCACCAATCCAAGGAGAACGCCCAAAGACCTTGCCTGCACGAACCTCCCCAAAGGATTCCACAACGGAATCAAGCTCAAAGGTTCCCCAGTTAGCACCACCTTCCCCAGTCCAAGCAAGTACACCAAGCAGCCCAAAACGAAAACGAGATCCAGTCCCTGAATCGCCGAGTCCATGGCAGAGGGATGATCCACCTATGAAAAGAAGAGCAATCGAAGTTTCTGCGACTGCGGGCCCTTCATCACGCCGTCCCCGCTCTGATGGCTGGGGACCCCAACCAGAGTCATCAAACGTGGTAGCCACACCACCCTTTACTGCACGGCCAGAAAGAGGCTCCCCCAGTGTCTCGTCAGATACAGGACCGCTTCAAGGCCTTGGGATTCCAGCTCTCTTCCCAGCCCCGAACCCTTCTATACAAACCCCTCGCCGCGTCGCTCGGGGGACTTCACAACGACCAGCAAATGTAACAGAACCGCCAGCACCGCCGGCCCCACCGCGACCATTGGGAGACAATGCCTTCGCGCAGTCTGGCCGATTCAAGAAACAAGTACCGAATCCCAGACCACCAGTCACCGATATCTTCAAAGACCCAGTGGACCCCATGTTTCTAGAACTCCCATTCTTGCCATCAAGCCCAGAATCCGAGGTGGCTGACGATGACATCTCCGATATGCCCGACGTCGATACCTGGATTGATCAACGCCTGGCTCTAGGTGCCAAAGAATCCCACGTGTTCGATGCTCTGCGATGTACAAGCATGGTCCCAGAGATGGCAGATAAAGTTCTTAAATATCTCACTGCTGGGGAGGGTATTCCCGATGATATGCCCGGGGTCTGGACAGCCGAGGACGATAGCTGTTTGCAGGCGGAGGATTATTCGCGTGTGAAGCGAGCGTTGACGAAACACGGCGCAGAAGCTTACAAGGATAGATGGGAATATTTCAGCATGGCCCGGCAGACAGGACTCACTGAATGATACCCATGGGATGAATTCGAGAAAGCGCACCAAGGACAGTTACAATGGACGAGTTGCAATTGTGAAGTAAATGAACATTAGCGTGTAGCTAGAAACGAAATACTCCCCGAAAACACCAGTATTGACCTGCCCAGAACGCAAAAAGGAAATTGGAAGTGAAAACTAAACATCAAATGTAGAGGCAGCAATGCCATGTTCAAAACGTGTTGTTGGTAGTAGTAGTTAGGGAGCATTTCAGCCATACCCACTCGCTATAGTACATCCGAGATTGAAGAAATGACCTAGAAATATCACGCTCGTGTAGCATTTTTGAGTCGGTGATATATCGAGTTGTCGGTGAACAGAATCAATTATCCTTGAAGACACTATGGGTGATGTTAGGAGCGTATTTCGAGCTTTCATTGGGTGGGCTTAACTCACAGGTGTGACTCGTAAAACTTGAGCATCTAGTTGGTGGTCAGTAACCTTGTCACTGTTTTTCGGCACGGTGGAGGACATACTTTCAGTGGACACTTTTCATAGCAGGCCTGCACAGACAGTTTCGCCTTGTGTCCGTTGTTGAACTCGAGCCAGGCCATGAGACCCGCATCGCCCTCCCGGACAATTGTGTCCACCTCTTTCACATCCTTATCCCAGTTTTTCCCTTTTGGAAGCCATTGAATGCCATTTTCTTGGGACGAGGGGGAAGCTTGCTTGGACGTCTCCTTCGGTGCTGACTTTCGGCGTTGTTTCTTGGCTTCGGTAGCTGCGGGTGCCGGTATAGGCTTTGAATCACCCATAGATTTGCGCTTGCGACCTGGCTTTGGCTTCTCTTCGGCCTTCTTCGGGCGACCACCGATCCTCTTGTAGTAAGCTGTGACAATTTCGCTGGCTCCATCCCTATGGTGTTTGTCAATAAATGCGCGTAGCAGATGTCGAAGCTCAACCGGTGCGTAGACGTACATTAGACCATCCTCCTCTTCCCATGTGTGGTCTTCGAGCTTGTCGTAGCCTTTCCATTTCACCAAGAGTTTAAGTGTTCCCTATGATTAATTAGGTTCTCGGCACAATCAGGCTGAGTGTTGTGAACATACATCATCAAGCCAGTCGTGTTGAATAATATCCTCGACAACATAACTGCATTCAGTTAGAAACATGTATCCATCAGTCGGCCGGGATGCGCAACTCACAGTCCCTCCTCCTCCTCCTGATCGTCCTCCTCTTCGTCTCCTTCGTCTCCTTCGTCTTCCGGGGGCTCCTGGTCGTCTTTGCTATTTGGCTCTGGCGCATTTCTGAAAGGAATATCGCCGGACTCCTCGTCGGACATATCTTCAACGGGAGCTGGGTAGTAAACGAGTCAGCCGAGATGTTCACCATTGCGCGCGCGACATGTCAACATTGGGAGGAAACACTCACGGGGCATGGCTCGGTTGAAGGGTGAGATCAGGTTAGAGATTTTTGAAAACAGATTGGCGACTGGAGGATTAAAACCTCAATTGCAGTTATAAATTCAGGCAAAAGACTGTCGCATCCAGAGCAATTGGAGTAGTCATGAAGCAGAAACGCGTTGAAGGCGGACAAGATACGCTATACCGCTTTGGGCAGTCAGAATTTCATTTGTCAAAAGTGCATTTCGGGAAGCTCCCCCTCAAGGCTCAACTTGCAAGTTCACTGCTTTGTCTTTTGTCACTTATTCTTGATTACCTCTTGGTCTCCTTGTCGGTGCCTTCTTTTTAAACCTCTTTATATTTTGCCCAGGTGGCAGCCCACCGTCAACATGGCAATGCGTAAGGCCGCACCCCCATACCCCTCATTCTTGAAATGTGCTTTGGCTAACTATGTGGATTTTGATCTTCAACAGAGCTTGATATGTCCCAGGGTGATTACTCCTCGAATAACTTGGTACAACTCGGATCCGGTAGCTGACATTAAGGGGTAGCTTCGGTCTTGAAGGACGAGCAGGGACGGCCGTTTATTGTCGTTCGCGAGTACGTCCACCGCTATGCGTTATCATCCGTTTCGAAATACCATTGAGAGTTGAGGGTTTGAGATATGGGGCTGACGGATCTTTTTCATAAAATAGTCAGGGAAAGAAGAAGAGACAACATGGCACTGAGGCCGTGAAGTCACACATTGTTGCCGCCAAGACGGTGGCCAGCATTGTCAAGTCTTCTCTGGTATGGCACTCGGCAAGCAATTAATTGAAAGACATCTGACTCTTTTTTTTCAGGGTCCCCGTGGTCTTGATAAGATTCTGATCTCCGCCGACGGCGATATCACCGTCACCAATGATGGCGCAACTATTCTCGGACAGGTTCGACCCCGAAGTCCTTTCCCCCGGAGAGATCCAATATAAGTTCGAGAGACTGATACGGTGGATATGGTTAGATGGAGATCACCAACAATGTCGCGAAGCTGCTGGTCGAACTTTCGAGGTCTCAGGACGAGGAGATCGGTGATGGCACGACCGGTGTCGTAGTGCTGGCAGCAGCCATGCTTGAACAAGCCTCGGACCTCATTGACAAAGGCATCCACCCCATCCGGATAGCCGACGGATACGATCAGGCCTGCGAAATCGCCATTGCCGAGCTCGACAGAATCAGTGACGAAATTACATTCAGCCAAGATGATACCACCAACCTTCTCAAAGTGGCCAAGACCAGTCTGGGCAGCAAAATGTACGGATTTCTAGCTGTATATTAGTTCTGGTTGATACTGACAGTTTCCATAGTGTCTCCAAGTCCCACGACCAATTCGCCAAGATCGCTGTTGATGCCGTGCTCTCGGTTGCTGACTTTGAGCGCAAGGACGTCGACTTCGAGCTGATCAAGGTCGACGGCAAGGTCGGTGGTTCTCTCGAGGACTCTCTTCTTGTCCGCGGTGTTATTGTGGACAAGGACTTCTCTCACCCCCAGATGCCCGATGAAGTTCGGGATGCTAAATTGGCCATCTTGACCTGTCCCTTTGAGCCTCCCAAGCCTAAGACCAAGCACAAGCTTGATATCACATCTGTTGAGGAATTCAAAAAGCTGCAGGACTACGAGAGGGAGAAGTTCACAGAGATGATCCAGCAGCTGAAGGAATCGGGTGCCAACCTGGTCATTTGCCAGTGGGGTTTCGATGATGAGGCCAACCACCTTTTGCTCCAGAATAACTTGCCTGCCGTTCGTTGGGTTGGTGGTCCTGAGATTGAGTTGATCGCCATTGCCACAAACGGCCGTATTGTGCCCCGTTTCGAGGATCTGACCTCTGACAAGCTCGGCACCGCTGGTGTTGTCCGCGAGATGAGCTTCGGAACTACGAGAGAGAAGATGCTGGTGATCGAGGAGTGTGCCAACACCCGCGCAGTGACTATTTTCGTTCGTGGCAGTAACAAGATGGTGAGTCAATCTTCCCACCATACGTAGGGAGATATGCCGGTAACTAACTTCAGCTACAGATCATTGATGAGGCCAAGCGTTCACTACACGATGCTCTGTGTGTGGTCCGCAATTTGGTGCGCGATAACCGTGTGGTCTACGGTGGTGGTGCTGCTGAGATTGCTTGCTCCATCGCCGTCGAGGACGCCGCTGTCAAGAGCCCCGGCATTGAGCAATATGCCATGCGCGCCTTCGCTGATGCGCTGGATGCCGTGCCCTTGGCTCTTTCCGAGAACTCTGGTTTGAGTCCCATTGAGACCCTTGCCTCTATCAAGTCGCGTCAGGTCAAGGAGAAGAACACCCGTCTCGGTGTTGACTGCATGATGACTGGCACTAACGGTACGCTCCTAGAAAATTATTCCATACTTCGTTCTGTTCATCGGCTAACTCGTGCTCTGTAGATATGCGTGAGCACTTCGCTATTGACCCCCTGATTGGCAAGCGCCAGCAACTTCTGCTTGCTACCCAGCTGTGCCGCATGGTTCTTAAGGTACTACTACTCCCGCCCACTCTTTCTATCACGCTCGATGCTAACGCTAAATCAGATCAACAACGTCATTATCTCCGGTGATGATCAGTCTGAGTTCTAGATCACTAGGTTCTAGTCCTATTCTACGATGGTAAAAGAAAAAAACTGATGATTCTGGTTTGCTATGTAAAAACATGGTCCCTTACATAGAACCCTTTTAGTTTCAATAAAAACGAAAGGATTGATAATGTTTCTATCTGGTCATTTCTTCTGGTCTCGCTCTTGATATGAGTCTATCTCTACGGCTAGCATTCATATGTAGATAAGCAATAGCCCGGGACGGCATCTCATTCTCAACAACCAACATGAGTGCTATGCACATTTACAAGTGAGCCTAACTGAAAACCTATCAGTACGACGTATTCGTCTCACCAATGAATCCCAAACACCCATAGTTCCCGATTCGGTCTTGTTCATTCTAACCCAGGACCAAACGATATAAACCGGAAGTCTTCGCCGAAACCATAGCAAGTAAATACCAGTACGGCATGTAAGATCACTATAGGCCTAAAGCCAACGTTCTCACACCAGCAGAGAGGTTCGTTTTCGTGGGAGACCGTGCCTCCATTCGGGATCGTGTGGGATTGTCTGTGTTCACGAGGGTCACCCGATATGCCGAGGAACAACAACCTACCCAAAGAAAACAAACGCACTCCAACCCCAACATCAACTGACAAATTTGACTTTTCGGGTCTGACTCCTGTTTAACCTCGGTGCGCATTCGTGGGGATGTCTCTTTTTCTTCTGTCATAGTTCTTTCCCAATAAGGTCTTCTAGACTAATGGACGAACACATCCAGCAGCTGGTGACCTGTCCCATCATGGAGATATACATTGCCTTGTTACCCGAATACGAGAATGGAATGTTAGTGTTTGAGAAAAAGGATTAGGCAACCAATGCATACTTTTTCTTAGGGAACACCTGAAGCCTTGCATGCGACCTTGGGGCATGATGTTCCATCAACCGGACGATGCGTTGGCATTCTGTGTATTTCTATTCTCCTAATGACATTCCTCGTGGTTGCGGCGAGTGTCAGAGGTAACTCCGATTTGTTTTCTTTCCTTCCTGAAGAAACCCTTGCAGGGTGAAGATCAGATTGCCTCTGCATACACAACATAGAGAACCCCCACTCTACGAAATAATCTGTACGATAAGCCGATGCCGACACCAACACAAAATAGTAGTGATCTACGTTGTTTATACATGCAATGATATTTTATTACAGGTTACAAATCTAGGACAAGCTCATTGTCGCCAATGTGCTACGTTCTGCTGTATCGTCGTGACCCCAAGGAACTACTTCGAGCAACAAATTGTCGGCCTATGGGACGGACTGGAATTATGAATTGAACATAGAATAGGTGACGATAATACTTTGGGCGATTCTCAGAGATTTCTTCGACGGGACGCCTGAATCGGAATTTGACGGTGACGGTCACGTACTCAGCCTCAGTCTTGGTGGGATGGATATATTCATAGCTATACAAAGACGTACCCTGGCCTTCACAGAAAGGTCGTCATTCTTTTTTCCTGGTTTTTCCAGCGCATAGAGAAAAATAAATTATTGTTTTCTTTTTCCTGTCTTCTTGAACCGGCATGGTAGAGTTTTCAGCTTCGTGCAGGGATTCAGCCGTTCATTCCAGGGTTTCACAGTGCGTAGAAGTACGACCCCAGTTCCCCGCGACTCGTGGACCACAGGATTCAGAATTCTGCTATTCACTACAGCTTGATTGAGGGCGAGACAAGTCTAGACCGATTGTATTTTCTCTTTTTCTTTTCACGTGTACACTGTTGATACCGGGAGTGTTGGGACATTGGAGGCTAACTACATACCTTAATCAGAAGTGTTGGTCCATGAGATGGATGTCCACTTAGATGTGTAAGCTTGCATTGCTGAGCAGTCAAAATGACGGATCACTTCGGCCTAGACGATAAATGAGTCAACATATATTGAAAGATCGCTTAGCCAAACCCCATCTGTATACCTATACACAATAAAGGCATCACCTATCCGTGAAACACCAGGTGCTCCAGGAAGCTATCTATCTCGAACTACTACATTTCTGTACAATTCCAAAGCAAACGAGGCAAGGGTAAGTGCCGTGCCGGGATGGAGACCTTATAATGTTGCCATATCAGTACCCCAGCTGCATCGAGGATGTCTATACATAGCACACACGATTGCAAGACACATTGCAATCCCGTGGTAGATCAATTTAAAGTCCCCCATGACCTGCAGCGGGTCGTGTTGCATGTCGTCTTCATTGGAATATTGGAAACGGGCGGCAGACGCCACCACAGGAGGCGGACGTCAGCTCCAGCATAACCGTAGATGAGTACGCCGGAACACGACGTACCCTACCTGGGCAGAGTAGGTACTTGTGTACATGGATTGGTTCGATCTTCCATCTCGGGCCGAATGCAAACCCATCGCTGCGGTGTGACGACCACTGACAGGTACGAGTACTAGGCCCGATCTGGCGTCCATTTTCGTGGCCGGGGCGAGATTGCAATTTGTGGGACATGCGGGTTTGGATTGGTTGTGCTGGCCATTCTTCTTCTTTTTTCTTTCTTTTTGTCGTCCAGTAGATTGTCGGTGGAAAGGCCTAAATCAAGGGTATACTGCTTGCTGCCGGTCAGCATGGGTTTCTCTCTGTGTTCCGTGCCTTGGGTTCTCAATATGACCAGACTACGTTGCATATTCCTGTATTTTATTTATGGTGGTAGTCGACATAGCCGCGCTATGCTTAAAGAAAACATCTACCGGAGATATTATTTTCGCGGCTCAGATGACCTGGTGCTGGCAGCGTCTTCGTGTGGAACAGGATGCGAGAAGGAGCATGGTCCGGTCAGAATCGATATGTCGGTAAATATGGGCGTTGCTGACTGTAAGAAACCTCGGATCATGAGCTATTGTCGAGTTGGCCTCGTCGGTGCTAGAATCTGAATCACCTAGGTTGTTCACATGGGCATCGTGGATTGACGTGGCTTCGTTTCGTTCGTAGTAGACCATTATTAGGATATCAGACTCTTTTTTTGTCTTCTCGTGACATCCGTTTTATGTAAATTGGGCATCTTCCTCGGCTACTAGTGAGCAACTGTCACTTCCGATATGTGATCATTTAGTTGTTCTACCGCTTCTTCGGGAACCGTTGGTCTCGTCACACGACACAACCTGTCAACCATCGACACATCACAAACCCAGCGATCGCTATATTTGACGTTCATGACAATTTGACTGCCTTGGGCAACTCCGGTCTCACTGATCTGTAGTTGTTTGCGGCCTACTCTGTACTGAAATAAGGAAAATCGGTATAGGGTATGTATTGTTCAAGAAGTGACAATACTTTCCAGAATTTCGTATTTTGTTAGTCTTTTTTTATTTGTAATCTATTTGCATCCGTTCGAAAATAGTAAATGGGTTGCTAGTGAGCGCGGGTGGATGGCTGAAAACGGCCGCTCAGGTCCAGGGTGTCCCCTCAATGTTGCTTCCCCGGATTTTGATCCCCGCGAAAAGTTGGGAACAATTTTTTATTCTTATGTTTATTTATGTTTGAGAGATTATAGTGGTATTATAGAGTCCACATGTTTATTCTATAAAATATAACTCTTAAAACCCAAGAGTTGGGAGGGTTCTCTACAAGTACGCTATGTACTTGCGAGAATATATCGCAGCATCTAGAACCCTTAGCTCACAACCTATCTTCAAGCCTCACCAGAACATGTTTTATTAGATGTACGTGACAGTCTTTGTTTTCAGTCCATATCTAAATATTATGCGACCAACAACAGCCACGGCTGACGGGGAAGCAAGTGACAATCCCGGATAAATTAGTCTGCTTGCAGGAGGCTACAAATTAGAGCCTAACGAACTGACAGGTGATCAGGGGAACAGAACAAACGAAACATCAAAAATGGACTCCAAGTCTTTGAAGCCAATACCCGATCAGCATCCACAATCAGCAGTGACAGAGTGCCAGCACAAAACGATCAAAGAGATCAAACGATCACCCGTCGCATGGCGTGCTGTCAAAGAAACCACAGTGATAACCATACAAAAGAGGCTTCGGTATCAAACAGGGATCTGACTCTTGGTGGCCTAGACTACGTGTCGATGGAACCCCTCCATCTCAACAAAAATAAGCAATCAAAGACAGCCATATCAGCCCATCGCCCGCCACAAGCACATGTGGAGAGACTCCGAACCGGCGGTGATGAGAGAGATCTTTGTACACAGCCGCTACAGCCGTTCTGAACAAGGAACAAAAGCAAAGAGAGCTGTCAGGAGATAGCCGCCCTAAATAGCCACCGGATGCACATGGCTTGATGCAGTCAGCTTGCAATGTGGGGGTGTCATTCGCTAGGCGGCCTAGGATCACCACGTATAATATCCAGTTGTTTACGCAATGATGAAAAGAGCACCAAAAAAAAAAAAAAAAGGAAAAATGAAAATGAAAAAGAAAAACAGATATTGTCTCTTGTCGTTCTATAGGTAGATCCGCCTAGGCTTTTAGTCAGTTGGTTTTGTAAATTGGACTATTTCTGGAGACTCTTGTCTTTGATTACTTCGTTTCTCCGACCATCGCAACAAGCAAAACCCAGCTTATGATCTCTTTGGGGAAATGAATGGCTTGGGGTTCTTATTTGAGATTGGGCCTTGAAAAAACATACTCCTTACAAAAGAAATTAATTGGAGATCTTGAATCAGGGGTGTGGAAGTCCACAATATGAAAATAACACTGGCCACGACAAGGGTTGTTACTAACTCAAATACCGGACAGCCAGAACAAGCAAAGAAAGAGAAAAAGATGGTAATCGACATTCAATATGCATTTCTTTCTTGATTTCCCTCGCAGTATGCTGTCCCAGAAACAATATGCAATGACGAGGTGGCGAATGAAGCATAAAGCCCGAATACTCCCATGCTATATCGAGCAGAGTATGTATAGACCCTCGCACAAGGTTCAACATCAAGGGAAGCGGGTCCATAACGTTGCAAAAATGAGAGCAGATATGCCAGGGCTACCGAATACCTGGGAACTTGATCTGCAGAAAGCACAGGGTGGATAGGTTATTGGGCCACAACTCCAAACAAGGGAGTTGTCGACGATCCGGGACCAGGGGACGTGCAGACAAGATAATGGGCTAGACCTTTCGATGGTATGCATGGATATCTTTTTCTTCTGCTAGTTTGCGACGGTTGGGCTAGCAACAAGAATTACACACATGACCAACTGAGCCCGAGCTATTGTAATAGTTGGATGAGACTGCGATATTGAGCAGCGAGGGATGTTATAAATAAACGAAGACACAACACCTAAGACCAGAAAGATCGTCGTCTAGGATAGGGATATATTGGGTGTCACCTGTTCTAGTAAAACATGATGTTTAGAAGGGGACTATCTGCAGAGAACGAAATGTACGAAAGAAGCAAGAGACATTCGGAAGAAAATGATTATCGCGGATATGCAAGTCCTGCTTCCGGCCGGATCGCAGAATCCAGGAACACACATCCCATCTTCGTCTCAGCTAGTTTCACGGGGCCTACCAGCCTCGCGGATACAGCAAGCTTTCGATCTGGAAGATTCCCCGGATACCCCTTGTTGAAGGTCACATGCATTATCCACAGGTAAGTCGATCTTTGCAGAGTAGGGAACCGGACAAAAGGACACGACCGCATCATTACGTACTTGGAGTGCTTCGTGCCTGGTTGAAGGGTATCTCAATTTCATGTTGTTGTACCTCATTTGGTATGAATGCTTCTAGAGTGAGTTCATCGATCAATTGTCCACCTGACCCTGTGAATTTAGAAAATTATGCCCGGCTTCGACTCCCGTAGCCCGCGAGTATCCCTTGCTCGTACCAGTCAACTCTTAAACCTCGAAATTGATTGACTTCTGAGAACGCTTGGATACCAGGTCCCAAATGATACCTGATACCTGATCCCCTTTTTAGATTAATTAATCATGGATTAGATATGTATCAAACACTAAGATTTGATCTGAGCACAGACATTCATGCCGGGGAAGCTGGCTACAAATAAAGTGGGAAACATGGGGGAATGTGATTTGCTACCTGGTCGATGTGATACAAAGAGAACCCTCTCGGGGACTCCTGGAGGTCGCGAGATATCCTATCTACTACTCCGTATCGTCACTCAATTTTGCGATCTATATCAACATCTAAAACAAAGAATCACGAGGTCGATATGGTGTGTAATCCGTAATCTCCCTGAGCCTAGGCCGTGGGAATGAATAGGATTAAATTATTGAAGATACTCGTAACCGTCGTACACCGTTATATGCCACATGTTTGGCCATCCAAGGTAGTGACAGTCACCGACGTGGCGCCCCGTCGCATTTGAGTGACGGCTCTGACCGTTGATTTGTTGACGCGAAGCGCGTTGATCCAGGAAGGGTGACACACTTAAGCTTAGTCTGTCGATTCCAAATTAGAGGGTTTTCAGGTCCTTTTTATTCAATTATTTGCTGTTGAATCTCGGATAGAGCTCTTTATTACTCCGTACGTCCAGCCACAGTACATAGTATGTGCACCCCGAATAGATAGAAGCATTGGCGATCTCATTGATCGACGCGGCGCGTGATGTTGCGTCCCATGCATGAGTCGCAATATATTACATGGAGTATATGATACGATGGGAGATGAACGAATATGTTGTATGACAGTGATACTCGCCTGAGAGGGGGAGGGGATCTGGATACCCCTGAGGCGTGGAGTCCGTGTGGATTGGATTTAGAAAGTTATCTGTTTTTGTGTTACTAAGTCACACCATTGGGTCGGACAGTTAGCTGTCATCTCAAGTTGCGCGGATCAATGAGTTTAGGCATTTGGGCAGTGCTATGATGGTTCAATCAGCAAGCAAGAATAAAATAAACTATAATGAGATAAGAGAATGGGGGGGCGACCCATTCCGTGTCACATGGACTCAGGTGATTGGCAAGGCACCAACATAGCCCAAATCCAGGACGCAGGAGATTCCAGAGAATCATATGGTAAGAGGCGTCAACCGGGGAAACTCACACCCCTGAGGTGGCGCGCTGTTCCTGGAACCCCACATCATGTGACGTGGCCTGCGCGTGACCTGCGCGTGACTTTGCCACTTTATGAGTCGTCTCTTCGGTCTATTGCTCATATTAGATAGAATAGGGTCATCATACCCGGAAACACGGGCTGTATTGCATGGAACCGTGGGTGCTGATACTCTAACTCCTTAATTTGCCCTATCGGCACCACGTAGCGCTATTACAATCCGAAGCGCGCTCCTCATAATGACCTGCGCCTACATCAGCTGCCATCTGCCATAAGCCTTGGGCTCGGTCTGATCCCGCTTCGGCGCCTCAGTCTGCCCGTGATCACATTTCGTGGAAACTATGGAGTACAGCAAATAGAATATTGACCCACTCTAGTACTGGTTTCCCATCGCCTGGCGGTAATCCTTTCGGCCGCCTAGTAGGGGCCTCGGTACCCCATCATCCCGGCTTTTGTCATGCTCTGGTCGAAGTGGGGCGTGACTTCCCATTTCCCCAGTCCCGAGCTATTGGCAGCCGCAGCCTTAACGCGATCATTTATGCAACATGCCTGGTTTAATGAGGTATCTTATGTGTAGTTTCATATCGCCACCTGGTACCACCCGAATACTAGGTAGTGAGACAGAAGCTGAACCCGTAGACCAGCAGATGAGCCAAGAGAGACGAGTTTTTCTGTTGCGCCTCGTTGTTTCTCTCATCAGATTGCCCATCGAAATTACTTCCATATGCCATTGACATTGTGCAAGCTTTGCAGACAGGGAGTCAGCAGCTATGAAAAACTTAGGCTGCACAAGCGGCCAAACAATGCTTTGCATCCTGTAGATGATTGTGTAGTGTCATACATCCGCAGGAATACGTCTTACCAACGAACGAACTGTTTTGAACGGATCAGACGACCTCGGTATATTTTTTTCTTTAGTGGCCAAAGAAGATGCCCAGTTGTTGATTGGTTAGTACCTTTCAACTGAGACCTTCTACGAGGGAAATGAGATGTTAAACGATTCTCATACACCAGCTCTTCCGATGCACCGATTTGTAGAATTTGTAGACTTGTTTTTCTCATCCAAATCCCCTCAAATCCGAGGGCTCTGGTTACACTTTTAGAGTCTCAGATGATGACGGCTTGCAAAATTCCACATCATCTAATGACAGGGAATAACAAGCTGGGATATGTGTCAGTCAGACCAAAGTTACTTATGTAGGTAGTAGCTATTTTCTATCATAGCTAGGGATCTCATAGTGCAATATCACTTGATAGATGAAACGTGCGCCTGGTGTGACTTTGCCCTGACAGGGGTTGTGTCCTGGAAGATCGGCCTCCAGGCGTCCGGTTAGAGGTTTGGAATGATCGGGTAGGGAAAGACACAGTTCCTTTCCACCAGTCCGGGCCTGAGAGCAAGGGTTACTGTAAGCGTTCAACCCCCATGACAGAAAAAGGACATATCTAAACCGGCTTCTTACGTGTTGCGGCATTGCTCATGTCGACCGTCATCTGTCAATCTCGTCTCTCAGGAAAACAAATGAGAACAATACAATGACAGTTTGCAGACTCGTGACCATTTAGTCTAGCTCTGTGACACTCTCGACTGTTGTGTCCTATTTGGATAGAAAAAGATAGAAAATCTGACCAGGATGTGCCCATTCGGAAGACAAGAAAAGAGAAAGGGCGGTAAGGTTGGCGCGCTCTTGAAATGAAGCTGTGGTTGACTTGCTTTTTTTTTTTTTTTTTTTCATCCGCATGATTGAGGCCTGAATTGATTTACCAGAATATCCCCCAGAATCCTCACCGATGAAAGCTGTGTGAAGAGAGATTAGCTGTTTTGAAACAAAGTAATGCATCTAAAACAGAATACGATCTACTACGGAAGAAGTACGTTGGTTCCCCGGTACGCAGCTGGGCTTGAGAACCATCCCTTTCTCCCGAGTACTAGCTGCTTGCGGGGGAAAAGAGCTGGGGAAAACCACGGATTTCAGCCGGAATCAATAAAATTAAACAGCCATTAAATGTAAAAGGATTGAGGCGCTTACATGGAAGTGTATAATCTCCGGAATTATTTGTGTTTCGACCGCTATAACCTTGAGCTCATGACAATTAATACTTCCGCGCATGATAGGCTTGAAATACGCGAGAAGGTCTATATCGGTGACCACAACGTGGCTTGAGATCTTAGACCGATTCCTAGCCCTTAGGACGCAGTGTACCCCATAGTCCGAGTATAGAGCGTCCGTGACGAAAATAGCTTATACGCGACAGCAATTTGGCCAGTCAGCCGGACTTTCAGCTTTGCCAAAACCAATAACCAGCAGTTTGACAGTTCATCAGTCAGTAGACCTCTTTTTCTTAGTAAATAGTAGATTGCCAGTGGCGAGATGTAGTGCCCAAATGTCAAATGTCCAAACGACCAGTGAGATACATTAAGTGGCGTAGAGAGAGAGCCTTGGTCTGGACTTCCGGCAAGTCACTGCAACTACCGCGTTGGAAGGTTGCCGTTCGATCAGTACACTGGCATTTTCGTTCTAATATTTTAGTATTTTATTATTTAATATTTTCTTTTTTACCCCGACAGGTCACAGGCACTGAAAGGCTTTGATTATATCTCATTCTTTGATATGGGTGCCTAAGCTCTTTGAAATGTAAGCAATAGCCCTAGAGCCCTAGAGCCCTGGAGAAGACCTTCAAACCAATATTGAAGCTCTGGAGAGAACCTTGGGTTTACAAGCTGGGAAGGTTCAACTGATATTTAGGTAATCAGTACTAAATTGAAACGGAAACCGGTACTAACAATACCAGTGTATTTTATGGGGGCACTTCGGAACTTCCTGAGGCCGGGAAGGTAAAGGGAAGTCTAAAAGTACTGGGGGAATAAAGTGGAAACCATGGTACGGCGGATCCGAATACATGGATATGGTATCGATGTAATTCAGGGCCCCGTGATGCGATTGAATTTTCCCCCTTCACCGACCCTTATCCTCGGTCTGGAGTTATTTCGGATTTTTATATTTTAATTTTCAATTATTTTTCCCCTTGTATTGTCATGTTTTTACCAATAATTCCAATAATTCCTATTCTTTTTAACGAATAATTCAATTTTCGATTTTCGATTTTCGATTTTCGATTTTTATTTTTCATTTTTCATTTTTCATTTAATAATTTATTACCGTCCCCCTCTCCTTCCACTCCACTCCACTAAAGTGCCGCCCCCCGTCATTCTTATTATCGTTCCGACTCCCTTTCTCTTCCTTCTTCCTTCTCCAGATTTTTTCTTCAAACCGTTCACCTCACTCTCAACACACAATCTCTCTCACCCGTCAATCTTGAAGGATCATCTCAATCCGCTCTTTCAATACCTCCTCCGTTTCTCCGACTCTTCGACCCGGAATCTCCGCACTGTGGCGTTCTGACGGAAAATTGACGGATATTCGACACCTGATTCTTCACTTCACTTGAAAATCCAAATCCTTCCCCAACTCGCATCTTTCGCGTGAGCATTCGATTGCATCTAAGGCGCCAACCTCGATTGATCGACTCTCTGCAGCACACCGCAGGGCCCATACTCAAATTTCAAGGTCCATTCTAGAAACCGGTTGATTCTTACGAACTTTCACCACCGCATCTCAAGCGCCGTACGACCACTATCGGGGGAGACGGCGACCCCGGAACATCA